CAAGAAATTATTTCATTTTATATTTAATGGTACATCTATAAATTTATTTCTCATCAATTAGTAAATTAATAAATGTTAAATTAAATAAAAATCGAATACATAATTGCTAATATAGTATTTCGTATAGTTTTGCTAAGTATGTCCGATCTACCAAAAGTAAATATTTTACCTTTCTAGAAAAAAAAAAAAACAAATCTATAATTTTTTAGCATTTAATTATTATGTAAATCTTGGTAAGAATTCACGTCATTTTCCGGTCAAGTAAAATATTTTCGTAAAAAGTTAAAATTCAACCCCTATAAATTAATCTGGATACAAGGTTAGGCCATCATATATAAATCATTTCGATTAACAAAGCAATTCCTAATTCCTAAAAAAAAAAAAAAAAAAAAAAAAAAAAAGAGTTTGAATTCATTATGGAAGAAAATATTTAGAATCCACACTTTGATTGCTAGATTTTTGCTTAGATTTTATGGTTTTTGTAAGTTGAATATTTTTAGGTGCTGTTTGTTTTTTAAATGTCAATCTTGCATTTTCGGATTTTATTTTTGGAAACATAAAACTATAAAAGAGGTTATCTCAAAAAAAAAAAAAAAAAAAACTATAAAAGAGGTCGCCGTCCATACTCCATAGGTGGGGACTGGGGATATGGATACCAGGGATAGCCCAGGCAATTGCACCGGAGAAGAGTCCGCGGCGGCGGCCGGAGCGGGTTCACGGTCATTAGTGAGTAATATTGATGGAGAAAGCATGCGTGCAATGTTCGTGGCATCGTCACCGCTGGCAGCAAGATTAGAAGCGGAGTATGAGCAACATAATTTCGGTGATTTTAGGTTTAATTCTGGTGGTTTTAGGAGTGGTAGACCTGTGATGTTTGAGGGGCCGCCTGGATTTCCTGTTCGTCCATCTCATACTTCGAGGCCTCCCGCTAGGCCGGCGGCGGCTGCCAACTCGTCTGCAGCAACTCATCAACCCGGACAAAAGCGAGCAGCTCCGGCCGAGACGACAACCCAAGAAACACCGCAAATAGGTTATGAAGGTAAAGCAACTTGATTCTAGCAACCTAGAGCGGTCGGTCGGCAACCTTGATCTGAACCTCGCTCTTTGATCCTCAACCATTCTAAATTTCTCCCATAATTAATTTAATGTTTTTTTTTTTTGGGTGTAGGAGCCGAGTTGTCTTTAACGGAAGCGAGTGTTGTTTATGTGGAACCAGGAGAGGTTATTACTCGCTCCCTCAACCGATCGAATATAGAATTAATTGTTTGTTTGTTTGTTGGTTGGTTGTTTATGCATGCATTCCGCTTAATCTAAGGTTACGTTACGTTTCTGAGTCCATTACGTTGATTGAAATTATATTATTATTATTTGAATTTCAGGATTTATCATCCAAGATTATTGAATTTTGTCTTAGTAAGCTGCACTCAACATCATCATCATCCGCATCTGTTTGTGTGATATTATCGGCAGTGGGAGCCGTTTCTCGTGCTACGGTTCAGAGGAATCCCAATGGCTTTGAAACCTTTGAGGTGAGCTAGCTAGCTAGGTTTAATTATATTTGTGGTTGGATATATATGATATATATGTTATATTATTATTATGTTTATAATATAATGGTGCATGCATGTTTAATTTGTTTGTTTGTTTTAATTATTTAAATTAAATTATTATGGTTTAATTTGGTTTGGGTGCGGGGCAGGGGTGGCACGAAATCATGCATCTGGGTGGAAAATATGAGAGGAAGTGGTCATCGGAAGTGGAAGTAGGCGGCGAATTGGAACGCTCCATATCTGGGGGACTCAATATCACGTTGGCTAAAGGAGACGGGAGACTCATAGCCGGCCCTGTTGGGGGACCTTTAATAGCTGCATCAAACATTCAGGTTGTTCTTGGAAGCTCTGGATGTTGAGAATGCATGCAGGCCGCCGGAGAAATAATTAAAGTAGTACAACATAAATTGGATTATCAACATATATAAGTTTTTGTCATTTCTACTTTTATTTATTACCCTTCTCCCTTACTTTCTGCCTTTCAATACCAAACTCTGGATTATCTAAAAGAGTATCCATAATAGTGTATGTTTTTTTGTATTTTTTTATGTGCCATGTAGGAGTAAGAAGGGGAGGTAAAAAAAGAAAAAAAAAAACAAAAAAACAAAAAGAATGAATGAGTCTGACACAAATTTTTAAAAAATAAAAATAAAAATAAAAAAGTTGAGCAGTCGTTAGTGCGTGCACGGGGCGTGTGAGGTCTCCATCATTCGGAGACAAACGCAAATTTATGATTCAATAGTCAAACTGTAAACCCCATACAAATCATTTAATTTGCAGAAATTTATTTTGCCAAAAACCCCACCCCACATCAATAAAAATTTCTACCCATTTTTCTATTGTTCTAAAAACCAAGTATAGTCCACCGATGTGGATGCTCAATAATACAATTGAAAGCATGCATACAGTAATAATACAATTAAAGAGGTTAATTGAGTAGGAAATGTGTTGTATTGCTTATTTCTTTTTTCTTTTTTCTTTTTTTTTTTTATGGCTGGGATTGAGAATTCTCAATTCTATAATATTAAATTTAAGATATGAAATGATCTAAGGTATCATTGAGGGTTTGAGAGAAACATATAAAAATAAGGATTATATTGAGTCTAGATATCGGCTAAGCTTCAATGGAAGACCAACTACAAAAGCAAGCAGCTCCCGAGACGACGACAACCTAAGAAACGCCGCAAACAAGTTGTGAACTTGATTCTAGCAACCTAGAGCGGTCGGTCAACAACCATCAATCTGAACCTCGCTCTTTAATTTGATCCTCAACCATTATAAATTTCTCCCATAATTAATTAATTAGTAGTTCTACTTTAATGTTTTTTTGTTTTAGATGTAGGAGCCGACTTGTCTTTAATGGAAGTTTATGTGGAACCAGGAGAGGTTATATTATTACTCTCGGCCCTCAACCGATAGAATATACAATTAATTGTTTGTTTGTTGTTGGTTGGTTGTTATTGCATTCCGCTAAATCTAATGTTGAGAATGCCGCATGCAGGAGAAATTAAAGTAGTTGTACCGGTGGGGAGTGAGGATCGGATACCGGCATTTCAATTCGATGAGGTCACCGGCCCACGTTTCAAACACACTACACTAGTCAATGGACAACATAAATTTTTGTCATTAATTTTTACTTTTATTACTTTTTGCCTTCCAATACTCCGAATTCCCGGATCCGTTTTTTTTTTTTTTTTTTTTTTTTTAGTTGGTTCGTTAGTTGATATCTATCCTAAAATTAAAGTGTTGGCCTTGCCTTGTACTTTTGCCGTGCATTGTTTTTTGTTCTTGTTTGACTATGAGGCCGGCAACTAATGCATTCTATGATTCCGCTTTCTTTCTCTTTGATCTCTCACATGCGCTGCTCTATTTCATTCCATCTGTTTATTGGGGACAATAATACAATTGGTAGAATATTAATGCATGCATACAGTAATACAATTAAAAATATGATCAGGATTGAAAATTCTAGAATATTGAATTTAAGATATAGACTACTGGTCTAAGATATCATTGAGGATTTGAGAAAAACATATAAAAATGACGACTATATTGAGTCTAGATCAGATATCAGCTAAGTCTTAATAGAAGACTAATTATATTAAATAATATAAATATATGCACATAACTCTGTAAGTTTATATATATTATTGTGCACGTGTCGTGCAACTACATTATGTGTTATTATTATTGTTGTTGTTGTGATATATATATATATATATATATATATATATATATATATATATATATATATATAATAAATTATTTAAATCATTTTAATGTTGGACAAATTCATTATAAATGAATTTCTTTTTTCTTTTAGAATTATCAGTTGTATTGATATCAATTTAATAAATAGTGAATAACAAACACATAAATTTAATGTCGTATTTTTCTTTTTATAGTAAGTCATTTTTTTTTAAACCTAAAGTAAGTCATTAATTCAATCAAAATATAAAATGAGCACATTTAATATTATTATATTTATTCATTGTAACTATTTATGTTCAAATTTTTTCACCAAAAAAAAAAAAACAAAAAAAAACAAAATTTATGTTCAAATTTAGTTTACGACATTTATATTATAAATTATATATTGACATTGGAAGAATTATATATTGACATTGAAAATGATTGGACGATGGATATTTCAAGAAATTATTTCATTTTATATTTAATGGTACATCTATCAATTTATTTCTCAATTAGTCAATTAATAAATGTTAATTAAATAAAAATCGAATACATAAATGCTAATATAGTATTTCGTATATTTTTGCTAAGTATGTCCACCAAAAGTAAATATTTTACCTTTCTAGAAAAAAACAAATCTATAATTTTTTAGTATTTAATTATTATGTAAATCTTTGTAAGAATTCACATCATTTTTTGTCCAATATAGTAAAATATTTCGGTGAAAATTTAAAATTCGACTCCTATAAATTAACCTGGATATACAAGGTTCGGCCCTCATAAATCTTTTCAATTCACAAAGTAAGTCCTAATTCAAATGTCTCCTATAGTGTTTTCAAGTAGAACCTATTGCATTTATTCCTTCTTTTAGGTAGGAAATTTGTTATTGTTGTTTCTCATTTTGTCTTCCCATAAGTAATTCATCAATACTTTTGATATTTGCCAGAAAAAAAAAAAAAAAAAACAATTTTGGATGAAAAGATTTAGAATCACACTTTTGATTGCTAGAACTTTGCTTAGATTTTATTAATAGAAGATGATCAGCAGCTCAGTGTGCAACAGATGGTGATCAAGGCTATTTGATAAGGGCATTATAGTCTTTCTTCATGTATGGTTGTTATAACCGTTTTTCCCTCCATCCTCCTTGGCTATATATGTCTGCCATCTTCTTCTAGCTGATATACTTGATACAAGATGTACTCACCTCCACCATTAATGAAACTCAGTTCATTCATTCTTCACTAAGCCGTTCTCATCATGGCATCAGAGCGGCGATCGTACGCCGCTGCTATCTCCGGCGTAGGCGAGGCTTCTCCGTCGGCGAATGCCACTACTCCGATCAATGGATCACAAATCCCTGCTGCTCCAGGAGCAATTTTGCAGGAGAATCAACGCGGTCGTCCACAGAGGAACCTCAGCATCGAAGATCAGGATAATCCGCTCCTTCTTACTGTCAACGACAGTCCTTCGATCGTCCTTGTGAATCCGCCGCTTTCAGGGAGTTCCAACTACAATAGTTGGTGTATCTCTATGCGTATTGCGCTAGAGGTTAAGAACAAGTGGGGATTAATCAACGGTGATGTTGAGCCCCTATCCAGAGATCATCCGCAATACTCTGCTTGGCGCCGATGCAATCTCCTTGTTTGCTCATGGCTGTTCAAATCTGTACATCCTCAGATTGCTCAAAGCATAATGCACCTTGAAAACGGGAAGGACATTTGGGAGGATCTTAGAAGAAGGTTTTCCCAGCGTGATGCTCAACGCATTTCTATTTTGCAGAATGATATCTATAATATGAAGCAAGGATCTCTAAGCGTGAACGATTACTACACTAAGAGTCGAACATTGTGGGAGGAAATGAACAACCTGAGGCCTATTCCTGTTTGCAAGTGCACTTGTAATCTCGTCGATGAAATTCGGAAGGAGAGAGAAGTCGATCAGGTAATCCGATTCTTACAGGGATTGAATGACGACTACAGCACTTTGAAATCTCATGTCCTTGTCCTTGATCCTCTACCTGAGGTCTACAAGGTCTTTGTTATGGCCGAGAAGTTAGAAAGGCAGATCAACTTGACTAACTTGAACCTGGAAAGTCTGGACAGCATTCACTCTAATGCGGTGCATGACAACCAAGGTTCTATCAATGGAGATCATGTAGGAGCAGTTCTGAATAACTTCAATGGAAAGAGAAACAATGCCTCTAAACCTAAGTGCACCTTTTGTGGAATGCTAGGGCATACTGTTGACAAGTGTTATAAAAAACACGGATATCCACCGGGATGGATCCCGGGATACAAATCCAAAGGAAAGCAGGTTGCGGCTATGAATACTAATGGTACAGATTTGGGAGTCACAGCTGAACAAATGCAAAAGATAATGGCCTTTATCGAGTCTCAATCCCAATCTGCTCCTAAGGTTAACACCAGTGCAGCAGTTGCACTTGTGCCTAAATTTGATGAGATGAAGTCTACTGATGAAGGCAAGTATATCACTTCTCCCTATGTTAATTCTGTTGCCTTATGCTCAGCTTCTTGGATAATTGATTCAGGAGCTACAAATCATATTGTGTGCTCTTCTGATTTTCTCACAAACTGTCACAAAGTTGATAATGTTGCAGTCAATCTACCCACTGGTCAGAGAGTTAGTGTTGAACACATAGGAGATATTGAACTTGACAATGGTTTATGGTTGAGAGAAGCTTTACATATTCCCTTGTTCAAATTCAATATTATCTCCGTAAGTAAACTGCTTAAGGACACCACATATACTCTAACTTTTGTTGATGGACAATGTCTGATTCAGGGGATTGGAGTGATGGCTGGTTTAGCTAAAGAAGAAGGAGGGTTATACCTGCTGAAGAAGCCCCCAAAGAAGTCTGGAAAGGGATACTCAGTATATTGTAGAGCTATGGCATCAAAGATTAGGGCATTTCCCTATTAGCAAACTACACTTGTTTTCTGAAATAAATGTTCCAAGTAATAAGACTATGGCATGTGATGTATGTCACTTAGCAAAGCAAAGACGTTCTCCCTTCCCTTTAAGCAAATCCGCTTCCAACACTTGCTTTGAACTAATCCATATTGACATTTGGGGACCGTTCCCAGTTTGTTCCTTAAGAGGGGAACGTTATTTCCTAACCATCGTCGACGATTATTCCAGATACACCTGGCTGCATTTAATGACAACAAAGTCTGAGGTCAGGCAGTTCATACGGCGATTTCATGCCTATGTCCTTACTCAGTTTGGCATTTTGATCAAAGTAATCCGTAGTGACAATGGTCAGGAGTTCCTTATGAATGATTTCTTCTCTGCAAAGGGGGTTATTCATCAAAGATCCTGTGTTAACACACCACAACAAAATGCCATAGTCGAACGAAAACACCAACACATACTGTCTGTTGCTAGATCTCTTCGGTTCCAAGCCTGCCTTCCCTTGCAATTTTGGGGCCATTGTGTTATGTATGCCACCTTCCTGATAAATAGGCTCCCATCTCCCGTTATTGATTGGGAAAGTCCCTATCAAAGGTTGTACAAGAAGCCTCCCAACATTGAAAGTCTGAAAGTGTTTGGTTGTCTCACTTATGCTGCCACTTTGGCTCACAATCGACATAAAATGGCTCCAAGAGGGAGGAAATGCATCTTCATTGGAGTTCCTGCAGGTATAAAGGGTTACTTACTCTACGACATGACAGATGGTTCCACTTTTATTTCAAGGGATGTTACTTTCTACGAAAGTCAATTTCCCATGAATAAACGTACTGCTGAGAATCAGTGGACTACGCAGCCCTCCCTTCCGCATCTCCCTATTGATACTCCTCTGGATTTTTAGCCCCATCTGACTGAGCAGCCACACACAGCTGATAACCCTTTGAATTTTGAGTTGAGTAAGGGTGATCAATCCAGCTATATTCGGCATACAGATACACAGCAGACAGATGCTCAACCAGTGTTCGACACTCTAGCAGATAACACTGGTGATAATTCCCAGTCTTCTGAAAACAATGAGCCACAGCCAGCTCATTCCCTTGCAGATGATTCTGTTGATGTGAGGTCTGATAACCTTGTTTTGCAGCTCAGAAGATCCGAGATAACTCGTCGAGCTCCTATCCGTTTGCATGACTATTATTGTGATCCAATCACACAGGATGGATCTTCTCCGCACACTCTATCCAGTGTCATATCTTATGACACTCTCACCACTCCTCACAGGTTATTCTCCATGGCAGTTACATCAGTCAGTGAGCCAACCACTTACAGTAAGGCTGTCCAATATGACTGCTGGAGACAGGCTATGGCCACTGAAATTAAAGCTTTGCAGGAAAATTGCACATGGGAGTTAGTTGATTTACCACCCGGAAAGACACCTATTGGTTGTAAGTGGGTGTACAAAACAAAGCTCAAAGCGGATGGTTCTATTGAGCGTTTCAAAGCTAGACTAGTCGCGAAGGGATTCACACAGCAGCTGGGAATCGATTATATAGAAACCTTTTCACCCGTGGCTAGGCTCACAACCATTCGGGTGTTCTTAGCCACGGCTGCTTCTCGTGGATGGCTTATACATCAGCTCGACATAAATAATGTTTTTCTTCATGGCAGCTTAGATGAAGAGGTCTATATGAAACTCCCACCGAGGTTTCAAGGGAGCAAACCAGGGCAGGTATGCAGGCTGCTACGCTCTCTTTATGGCCTTAAACAGGCAAGTCGTCAGTGGAATTCAAGATTAACTTCTGCCCTCACTAGCAGAGGTTTTGCACAATCCAAAGCCGATCCTTCACTGTTTACAAAGGGACATAGCTTACAGTTTATCGCCATCCTAGTTTATGTTAATGATATATTGGTCATAAGCCCTCAGTTGTCATTAATCAATGATCTAAAAGTCTTCCTAGACAATACCTTCAAAATCAAGGACCTCGGCTGCCTGGGTTATTTCCTGGGAATTGAGGCACACACGAGCAGCAAGGGGCTTAACATATGCCAGAGGAAATATGCTCTGGATATTCTCTCTGAGTCTGGCTTCTTAGCCTGCAAACCTGCAAGCACCCCCATGGTTGCAGGACATCAACTTCGAGCAGAGGGAGGTGATGTTCTTGCAGATCCCGGTTCTTACAGACGCCTTGTTGGTCGCCTCCTTTACCTCACGGCCACAAGGCCAGACATCACATTTGCGGTGCAGCAGCTCAGCCAATTTGTAGACTCTCCAAAAGCTGATCATTTAGCTGCTGCTCATCGTGTCTTGCGGTATATAAAGAAGGCCCCTGGCCAAGGCCTATTTTATCTGAAAGCCAACAACTTGCAACTTCACATTTTTTCAGATTCCGATTGGGCTACATGCCCTGAAACTCGAAGATCTATCACTGGATTCTGCGTGTTCCTTGGCTCAGCTCTTGTATCATGGAAGACGAAGAAACAACCCACAGTTTCTCGGTCATCTTCCGAAGCCGAATATAGAGCTCTTGCAGCTACCGTTTGTGAGACTCAGTGGATCAAAACTTTGCTTGGAGATTTACAGGTTGAGATGGACAGGCCGGCTGCTCTCTTCTGTGACAGCAAGTCAGCCATCGCGATCGCTGAAAATCACGTCTTCCATGAACGAACGAAGCACATCGAAATCGATTGTCATATCGTCCGTGAGAAAATTGGCCAAGGGCTCATTAAACTGCTATCTGTTTCTTCTTCCAGTCAGGTTGCAGACGGTTTTACCAAACCTTTGCCGACTTCTCTTTTTCAGACCTTTATCTCTAAGCTTGGTGTTCAGAACCTTCACACTCCAGCTTACGGGGGGGTAATAGAAGATGATCAGCAGCTCAGTGTGCAACAGATGGTGATCAAGGCTATTTGATAAGGGCATTATAGTCTTTCTTCATGTATGGTTGTTATAACCGTTTTTCCCTCCATCCTCCTTGGCTATATATGTCTGCCATCTTCTTCTAGCTGATATACTTGATACAAGATGTACTCACCTCCACCATTAATGAAACTCAGTTCATTCATTCTTCACTAAGCCGTTCTCATCATTTATAGTTTTGTGAGTTGATTATTTTTGGGTGCTTTTGTTTTTTTGTTTTTTTTTTAAATGTCAATTTTGCATTTTCGGATTATATTTTTGGAAACATAAAATAACTATATATAAAAGAGGTCCATAGGTGGGGGGATCGGATATGGATACCCGGCAGAGCCAGGGCAACCCCACCGGAGAAGAGTTGGCGACGGCGCCGGCAGGTGCGGGTTCACGATCATTAGTGAGTACCATTGATGGAGAAAGCATGCGTGCAATGTTCGTGGCATCGTAACCGTTGGCAGCAAGATTACAAGCGGAGTATGAGCAACATAATTCCGGTGGTTTTAGGAGTGGTAGAGCAATGATGTTTGAGGGACCGCCTGGATTTCCTGTTCGTCCATTATCTCATATTCCGAGGCCAGTTGCTGTGCCTCCCGCTAGGCCGCCGCCGGCTACCAACTCGTCTGCAGAAGGTCATCAACCCGGACAAAAGCGAGCAGCTCCCGAGACGACAAACCAAGAAACGCCGCAAACAGGTTGTGAACTTGATTCTAGCAACCTAGAGCGGTCGGTCGACAACCATCCATATAAACCTCGCTCTTTGATCCTTAACCATTCTAAATTTCTCCCATAATTAATTTAATGTTTTTTTTTTTGGGGTGTAGGAACCGACTTCTCTTTAATGGAAGCGAGTGTTGTTTATGTGGAACCCGGAGAGGTTATTAATTACTCCCTCAAATCGAATATACAATTAATTGTTTGTTGGTTGGTTGGTTGTTTATGCGCCTTAATATAAGGTTACGTTACATACGTTGCTGAGTGTAATTATATTATTATTATTATTTGAAATTTCAGGATTTATCATCGAAGATTATTGAGTTTTGTTTTAGGGAGCTGCACTCTACATCATCTGTTTGTGTGATATTATCGGCAGTGGGAGCCGTTTGTCGTGCTACGGTTCGGAGGAATCCCACCTCCCATCCCAATGGCTTTGAAACCTTTGAGGTGAGCTTGCTAGGTTTGTTTAATTTGTTTGTTTGTTTGTTTGTTTGTTTGTTTGTTTTAATTAATAAAATTATTATGGTTTAGTTTGGTTTGGGTGCGGGGCGGGGGCGGCAGGGGTGGCATGAAATCATGCCTCTGGGTGGAAGCTACGACAAGTCGTCGTGGCAAGTAGGCGGCGAATGCTCCATTGCTGGGGGACTCAATATCACATTGGCTAAAGAAGACGGGAGACTCATAGCCGGCCCTGTGGGGGGATCCTTAATAGCTGCATCAAACATTCAGGTTCCGTTCCAATCTAATAATTTGTTAATTTGTTACTATACGTTACTAGCGATATATATGATATGATTAGTTATTAGTTGCTTATTTTATATTCCAATCTAATAATAATCTTATATACATATGACTGGTACATAGGTTGTTCTAGGAAGCTCTGGAGGCAGCGCAACTAACTACGATGTTGAGAATGCAGGCCGAGAAATAATTAAAGTAGTACAACATGGTGCAAATTAAATGCAGGTGGATATATATACCCCATAAAAATCACTTAATTTGCAAGAGTTGATTTTGCCAAAAAAACCCACCCCACATTAGTAAAAAACTCCTACATACCCATTTTTCTATTGTTCCAAAAACCAAGTATTAAGTATAGTCCACTGATCGATGTGGATCCTCTAACCTCTATTTCCTTCCATCTGATCTGTTTATTGGGTTCAATAATACAATTGAATGCATGCATGCATACAGTAATAATACAATTAAAGAGGTTAATTGAGTAGGAAATGTGTTGTATTGCTTTTTTTTTTTTTTTAGCCGGGATTGAGAATTCTCAATTCTAGAATATTAAATTTAAGATATTGACTGGTCTAATGTATTATTGAGGGTTTGAGAGAAACATATAAAAATGACGATTATATTGAGTCTAGATATCGGCTAAGCCTCAATAATGGCGGAAGGCCAACTACTATACATTGCCCATGGAGATGGCACTACCACAAAATGCTTCCAACTTCAGTTATTTTTTAAGTTACGTACGTATGTATAGTATAATGTTGATTATATTGTATAGTAGATCTTGTCGTAATAGTATATAACCAATACGATATGATGTTGTTTTCTCAAAATCGATGTGTTGATTATATTGTATAGTAGATCTTGTCGTAATAGTATATAACCAATACGATATGATGTTGGTTTCTCAAAATCGATGTCGTATTTTAACAACAAATAAAATAAAATTAACGAAATAACATGGTTATATATGAACATTTAACGTGGTATCATTTTTAAGAAATCTAACTATTGTATCTTTTTATAATTTTCTTAATAACGAGATACGAGTTCAGTTCTTTTTAGAAAATTGATGTTGTATATCTTTATTAAAATTTTTAAAAATAAGATTCGACGTCAATTTTTAAGAAAAATTGATGTCGTATCTCTTTATTAAAAAAGAAATTTAAAACAAGATACGACGTTATTTTTTTCAAAAAACCGAAGTCGTATCTTATTTTTAAAAATTTTGTATAACTTGTGAATCTTATTTCAAATTATTTGATATTTTTTCCTTTATGTAATTTAAATTTTAGGTATAAAACTAATTTTTTTTGGGTGAAATTTAGATATAAGACAATATGTTAACTTTAATATGGCATATTTTTTTGTCATGCCCCGGGCCTATAAAATAATAGGACCCGGCATGATTATTCATTTATTTTATTGTAAAAGATACAACCTCAATTCCATTAAAAAAACGATGGCATGTCTTCATTACAAATTTTTTAAAATATTTTAAGATAACAATGTTGGTTTTTTTTTTTTTTTTTTTTTTTTTTTTTTTTTTTTTAACAGAGAGGAGGGTTGAGCCCAGAAGATTACATGCAAAATGTTGCTCCCAGTTTATCTTGCCTTACTAAAGTATCCACAGTGGAAGAAGACCGACAAAGTAGCTTCTTATAAATAGGAGCCTATAATGTATACAAGCAATATTCTATATTTCTATCTAGAAAGATTATTAGCTAGTTTGCAAATTATTTTTGTATCACGTACAAGATGAAGTGTGTGCATGACTGCATGCCATTGTATAGTGTTTTTGCTAATCATCAAAGATAGGAAATTTGTAAAGTTACATTCTACAAATAGAAATTTGTGGGTCATTTTTTTTTTTTAAATATTACCCACTTACGCAGTATTAGATTATGCCTTACAAAATAGATACCATTAAAAATATAATTGAAAAATTATATTGTAAAAAAATAACATAAAAGTTAAATAAATAAAATTGCTTGAGCATAGAGGTAGGACTAGAAAAATGTATGATTAGTGAATGAGAAGGCGGAGAAGGTGGAAGAAGAGGATGCAACATAAGCATTGAGGAGCTCATTTTGGGTGGACCAAAAGTCGGCTTTTAGGCCGCATCGTCTAATTGCTTTGAGTATCTTGTTCCGATGAGTATACCCCGTCACGGTTACTTTTTGACTTCTCCCGTCTATTTCTACTTTCTCTATTCCTGTTATTTAATTTTGCATCATAAAATTAATTGTGAGTAATTGTGTTATGTTGTGTGTGTCTTGTGCATGTTAAAAAGAAAAAAAAAAAAAAAACAATAATTATTACAAAATTTGATTCCCAAAATTAATACAATTAATCCTTATTATTCAAGCCTGCCTTTGCATGCATCTGTTTAATTTGTTTATGTGTGGGGGGTGAGAGATGAGAGAGAGTACCTCTTAATTTGGATAAGCATTTGCGCAATCTTTTCTCGTGTATGCCAACCATCTCTACCTTCAATTCAACCACCTGCAAATTAAAAGCTTATTAGATAGCTTGGTGTTTAATTTCTAAATGGAAACATTATATTGCATACAAGAATTGAAGGAAACAGTAGTAGTGTTCCTCGTACCTCCATGAGTGAATCTATGATAGATCAGATGGAGCTATCCTAGCAGCTGATCTTGACTAGAATTTATCAAATGAATTAATGATATGATGAAGAGATCGAATTGAAGAGACAGAGGGCGGGTCTATATAATAGCTAGATGTATACTAAGTCTGGCAAGCTAAGTGAAGTGCGGAAGAAGGAAAGGAAGGAAAGACAGTAATCACAATAAGACTCGTAGCTTCTATATATATACACGATCCTTAAAAGGACAAAACATACATAGTAACTAAAGTACAGTGAATATAATAGGATATAATGTTGGAGACTGAGCCCTCATCTGATCTGATCTGCTTAATTTGCTTTATATATGCAATGACAATGTTAGATCTGGGTTGGCTGTTGGAACCCCAAACTCCAAAGCAAACTCTCATCATCTTGCACGCCTTTTCCAATCATTGCCTTTGACTGCTCTCATCTCATCTGGATGCTCTTCTATATACCTTTATTTTTCAGTTTCAAACAACCACAATAATCTCAATAATATATCTATAATTCCCACAAATACATACGTTTTGAAATATAAATTTAGCCTCGTATATACACAGGCTAATGAAGCTATTATGGTAAAATTAGCTAGCTTAAATTTATTAATTTAGTTTCCTGTTTGATATCTTTGAATATGGAATCGTTGATTAGTATTTGGTTTGAACTGAACTGGATTACATGAGTGCTATAATTAACATTTTAAAAAATATATATCACCCTCATTAATTAGTAATTGAAATTTCAATCATATTAAAAGTTGATTTATCATGTTATCATTTTATCAATTACAACTTATCTTTTATCTATTAGTAATTCGATCAAAGAAAGTTGCACAAAAGAAAATCAAGACTGAGATATATGTAAACATATACATGGCAGCCTGGCAGCTCTAGGAAATAAACTATACTGCAAGTTTGGTATTTCAATTCTTTTAATGATGCTTTTGTTTGATTATGCCTTCAGATGTAGGAGGATTCTTTTTTTTCCTTTTCCTTTTTTTTCCCAATGTTAAGAGTATAAAATAAAATATTATCACCAGGGCCGGTCCAATCATTTTCTAGGCCCGGGGCAGGACAAAAAAATGGGCCCCGGTTAATATATATTTCATGCCTAAGATTTAATTTAAATAAGAAAAAAATTACTAATATCAATAACTTTAAATAAGATTAACAAGTTTTTAATAATTTTACAGCGACAATAATAATCATGAAAAAAATTCTAGGTGCTTTCCTTAATGTAAAATAATAAATAATCGTATAAGTGCCTTCATAAATAAATAATTATTATAGTTTATAAAAATGAATAAATAATTTAAAATCGAGTCAACTTATAAACAATAACATTGTTATCATAATAAATAATAAATTAATTATTATTAAAAATTTATAAAACAATAATTACAAACATATGTGAAGCTAAAAATATTTTTTTGACTAGGAGAAAGAAATTAAAATATTTCAAAACGCAATAAAAAAATTCAAAAAGATATGAAACATAATTATCTAGATAAAATAGTTTGAATATAAAGCATATTATAAATCACACATCTTCTATATTTATATGATTTTTATAAATACTTTTTCTTTTAACTAGATAAATTTCAAACTTTTTTACAATAATTTGAATACAATGACACATGATAGAAACTTCTATATTACATTGATTAGATATTCATAAAAATGTACGGAGTAAATTATCATTTAATTTTTTTCATAATTCAATCTAAAAATATATCATATAACCCCCTCCGTCCTATTTTTATGTGTCTTGTTTGGTTAACATGAGTTGATTGAAGTTTTTTTAATTCAATTTTTCATAATATGTTTAGTATAAGTATATAAAAATTTATAAATTTAGAAACTGCATTAAAATTTTAATATAAAAATTTATATATTTAATATAATTTTTTTTCATATTATGTTTAGTATAAATTTATGAAAATTTATATATTTAAAAACTACATTAAAAATACTACTCCGTATTAAACACAAAAAATCATTAAAAATAATTTTTTAAAAGATACATTATAATATAAGCAAAGAAGTAAAGTTGAGGAATTCTAAAATGTAAAGGGAAGGATTGGATCACCGGCCTTTGATTGGAGGAGGTTAAAATTTAAATATCTTACCAACTAAGCTAATTCACCTTAGTATAAAATATATGTATATAAATTACTTATACTCAATACATATATACTATGTATAAGAGATAAGATGGGGCCCTCCCCAACCATGGGCCCTGGTCAAGGGCCCAGCCTGCCCTTGCCCCAGGACCGGCCCTGATTACCACTATGTAAAACAGTTTAATAACTCATATATATAAACCCAAAAAAAAAAAGTTTACAAGGTTAAAGTAAAGAAAAGCAAATGGACATTCGGATTGAGAATGACATCCGACATGCACAACAGAGATGACATTGACAATCCATATATATATATATCTTAGGATTAGAATGTCTGATTATCCGGAATATTCAAAGAACGGAGATCGTCAGAATCTAGCTAGGTCCAATATTCTAAAATGAATATCACATCCCAATCATTCATATACTCATGGCTGCTCCCCAATTTCTATTTTTTATTGTTCAAACTTCAAACAGAAGTACTTTTAAATATTGACCTACTTATAACTTCAATGAAATACACATTTGTATTCCATAAATAATTTTGATACTATTATTGATTTGATGATACCTATAAATATATTTTTCATTGATTTATATTTATTCTCATCCTCAATTTTAAACCTCTATTCTGAATATCAATCATTAGACTCAAATTCAATTATTTCATCACATATATTTTCTTTTTAATATGAAATGTGCATTCATATTCAATTCCATAAATACTTTCAATCTTATTATTAACCTAAAGACACATAACATATTATTTATATATATATATATATATATATATATATATATATATATATATATATATATATATATATATATATATATATATATATATAGTGGGCAATCGTTATGCTATGGACCTGTGTCCAGCATGCAATGTGGACACAGTAACGGTGCCGTTAGTGGCACCGTTATCTTCCACTTTTTTCTTTTCTTTTTTTTTTTTTAATTTCAGACCGCTTCGTTATAGGAGTATATGTTCATAATTTTATCACTATATGTTCATAATTGTAAGTTCATGATGTCAGAGCTCTGTGTTCATAATTCCATAATTGTACATTCATACTTCCATAAGTGTACATTCAGTACAAAAATAATGTACATTCAACACAAAAATAATGTACATTATATTCAGGGGATGTACCTTATTTTTGTACTGAGTATACATTCAGTACAAAAATAATGTACATTTAGTATATTAAAAATGTACTTTTTATTGTGGTCCACATAATACTGTGTGGACCATGGTTCACACAATAATTTGCCTACAGTGGGACAAGTAGTATGGCTATGAAAACTATGGATCGCAAAGTTTGGCTTGCGTAATATAGATTCCTTACAATTATACGGATTGCTAGAGCTGTCAAAACGGACCCAACCCGACATTGGGCCCGTCTAACCCGTATTTTAAACGGGCTGAGTTGGAGGATTTCCAGCCCGTCCCGTTTCCAACCCGGCCTGTATAACACGCACCCCACCAAATGTGTTGTATAATTGGATATTTTATTAATATTTAAAAACATTGTTGCTAACAAAACTTAAACCCTTGACCTTTTACTTAATTTATCAAATTATTACTATTGAAACCAATTATACTAAAAACACATGTTAAATATTTTTAATATAATTATATACCTATTTACATCATTCACAAGCATTATTAAATATATAATTGATTGATTTATATTACATTTATTACAAGTATTAATTAATACGGAGTACAATTAATTGTATCTTTATATAAATATTAATTTAAAGTTTAGTTATTATATAAATTACATAAAGTAATAAAATATATATTTTATAAACTTTATAACTTAATAGTATATATTATAATTACAAAATAAAAAATATTACATGTAAAATATATTTGTATTAATATAAATGAAATAAATTATAATTACATATTAAAAACTAAAATCTAATTTTATATGTGTATATGTTATATGTGTATATACATATTTGTATATATATAAATATACATATTTATTTAGTATGATTAATGTGGTTGATTGAAAATAGTCTTGGCTACTAACTTAGAGGTCATGGGTTCAATTCCTAAATAATATAACAATAAATATTTTAATTATGTAAAAAAAAAAAAAAAAAAGAATAAACGGGCTGAGCTGGCCCGTTTAGCTCGTCAACCTATCCTACACGGGTCGGGTTAAGAAAATCCCAACCCGTTAACAAATGGGTCAGCCCGTCCCGTCCCGTTTCCCGTTGAATCCGAAACGGACCAGCCCATATGGGTCGGGCTGGCCCGTTTTGACAGCTCTACGGATTGCACGTTAATAATTTCCTATTACCATAATATGATTTCCATAATTAATTAGTATATATTCATAATATTCTGTGTAATATTATTTAACTTTTGGTTATATATATATATATATATATATATATATATATATATATATATATATATATATATATATATTACATAATATCATATGAGGAATATATGTTAATTCAAAAAAGATAAATCCAAATTCATTAATGTGTCTATATTCATGTAATATTCCGTGTAAAGATTTCAATATTTTTGGTTTTATATATAGTACATAATACCATATAAAGAATACATGTTAATTATTACCTAATTCAATAAATGTGGACATTAATAATATTTTCATAATTTGTTCAATGGGCGCAATTATGAATTGGGTCAACCAATTCCAACTCCGTGTAATATGACCATAATAATCTATATATAATTAATTAGTCTATATTCTCTCCTATTTAAAATATATTTTTATTCAACTGTAAGGAATACACGTTAATTATTGCGATTAGAGCCAATAATAATGGCTTCACTGAGGCTCAAACTCACAAGCCTCCCCTATGGGAGTCCAATTCGAGTGTCATTAGACCACAAAGTCTTGGCTAATTAACTAATTAATACTTAATAAAATTTATTGTTAATTTGACTATTAATATTAGGCAATTATATAAACAATATATACAATTAATTAGAACGTGTAACGCTGATGTGAGCAAAATTAATATATTTTGTATTCTACAACAATATCATAAATTAATATTATGCTAATTCATCATTAATAATTAATCCAGATTATTATTAATTTGACTAATAATATAGATTAGCATAAATATCTATTAGGGAAAATGACATTTTTTTCCCCTGAGTTATATACTTATAGCACTTTTCCCCACTCAATATTCAAGTGGCTATTTTCCCCCTAAAATGTTAAATGGACATATTTACCCTTAAAATAAATATTTTATTTCTTTTTCTTCTCCAACAAATTATGACCATAATTTGGTTCAAACCTAATAAACACTATAGCAACCAAACTGAAATATTTCAATTACAATTTAGAATCGAAACTCGATATATTTAGAGTTTATTAAAATCGCGGAACGGACGGTTCATGTTCCGAACTGAAAAAATAAAATACATTTATTGTTGAATTTAGACTATTTTTAAAATAAAAATAAAATTTTAAAATATAAACGGTTCAAAATCGCGAATCGGGTCCGGAACCGCCGGTTCATGGTTCAGGATCCAATTTTTTTGATTCATATTTTTAATAAATTGAAATCCAAATATTGGGTTCTAAATCTGAATCATAACCGGAAACTTTTAATTCGATTGCTATAGTGTCCGATTCAATTCGAACCGAATCGTGGTCATCCCTACGTATACGCAATAATTTGTTGGAGAAGTAAAATAAATAAAATGTTTATTTTAAGAGTATAAATGTCAATTTAATATATTAGGGGGAAAAATCACCACTTTTAAAATAATTGAAGGGGCTAATGTGCTTACCAAAATAATTGAGGGGGGAAAAGTGCTCAGGGAGAAAAAGTGTGATTTTCCCTATTTATTATTTGTAATATGACCATAATAATATTTAATTTACTAATTTATGATAACATCAAAATATAAATAACAGATTTGATTAAAAATAAAGTGCAAAACAAGAGTGCAAACAATAAAAAATAACATAAATTTGTGAACTTTGTGATTTTAATTTTTACGGTGTGATCCGTTTCTGATTCTGAAGAATTTTAAAGCGCATGGAGTTCTTTGTATTATTTCGTCTGTTCCTAAATTTGTGCACTTTGTATGGATTTGAAATTTATAAGCTTTGAAGTTGAATTTTTGAATTCTTAAATTGAGTTAATTTTTGAATTCTTAAATCGAGTTACGTGTCATCTTTTATTAAATGGATTTCTCCTTTTCTAATTAAGCTAAATATGACCATTATATTTATTTTTATAATATTTACAATTAAATTATTTATCATTTCCCCCACATTAATTTTAGTAATAATATAATTATATAAATCTTATTACATATAGTTTTTTTTTTTAAAGATAATTGTAGACAAACGACTCCTATACTATTCAATCAATTGAGTGATACTTTTACACTAATTTTATAATAAAATAAATGTGCACTTTTAAATATTAGTATTGTTTATAATTTTCATCATTAATTTTATTATCTAAATATATAATAAAAGAATTATTTGCGCATCACACTGGTAATTGGACAATTATTTGTTCGAATTAAGCAAAAATAAAATCAAAAAATGTAATCGATCCAACAATTGCACTATATAATATTCATTGTTATAATTTATATAATTATATATCAATCCAAATATTTTTAAAATATTATAATAAATTTTTTTCGTGCAACGCACATGTGAAAATACTAGTTATAGACAAAATAGTTATATTTGGACTAATATCCACCATACGGGCGGTATAACCAACTCCATAGTATAATTTGCCGTGAATTATAACGTATGTAATTTTTTTGAAATCGTAACGTATGTAACTAAATTGTTCCACCTACAATTCATATACATGTTCTGAAGTTCCATCCCTTGATCATCTCCTATTACTCTCAGAATCTCAAGGTTTCGTGCGATTTGCCGTCTTCCTCTCCTCTCTTCTCTTCTTCATTGTACGCGACGCCATTTCATCCACTTTCTTCCTGGTTAGAATCGAAATTGAAGAAATCGAGCCGCCCAGTAGTTTTCGTGTGAGCCCGATTTGTATGGTAACGCTCTTCTTCTCACTGTATCAAGTGGAGAAATTCCTCAATTTTTTTTACAACACTAAATTTACTTCGAGTTCCTGTTGTCAGTCTTTCTGTGTGCTTGGGTTTCACTCCTTTTGAAACCTTGTGCTCAAGATTGGAGCTTTGGAGGCGATTTGCATATAATTTTTGACTGAGAAAGCTTTGCAATTGTCTTGATGGCTGAATTAGGATATCCTTTTGACAAGTAAAATTGATTCCTTTCATATCTAACAAGCTACACAAAAAGGGAAATTTTGGTAGGAAAAAGTGGCAAAGAAAGAATTTAGTAAAGCACAATACATTATGAATGTATCTTAATTGTGCGTGTTTATGCATAATTATTTTCTTTCCCTTACATGATGCCAGTAGTCTTACTTTTATATTCCACATGCTGATTATACATTGTCTTCTGATGTTTATTGTTTGCCAATCTGGTTTGTGGAGCAGAACAGTTATCTACTCTGTATTTAAACTTTGTTTTTCTAATTATGAAGAATATTTGATATGGTGTTGCTGGTATGATTTTGTGGAAGTAATCTTTGTTTAAACTTTAAATAGGGTTGGCTGGTCTAGTTGCTAGCAAACCTAGTTATCTCTTATTACATGAACAAGCGGCATTCAGTTTTAAGTTATTGATTCACTATGCAAACTGTTCTGAGTCATTGTAATACAGTTTAGATCAAGACCTTAAAATTGATGACAGCACAATCCATCCAGTCCTGAGTGTTTTGGGTTAGCAAGTTAGGGTTTCTTTGTTGGGTCTTTCAGGGATCTGTAAGAACAGTTAAGAAACTCTTTTTTTTTTTTTTTTTTGAATCAATGAAATTCTATATCTATACATATTAATGTTGCTAAAATATCCATTAAAGAGGTTATCACTTGTTAATTGTGAATGTTTGTCCTTTGGAATGGTTTAGCTACCTTTTATCTTAGGAACATCTAAATACATGTACTTCTGTTATGATCTTGAACATGCTTGATGCTACTTTTCCTGGTTTATTGCTCTTCTTACTGCTTATGTTTTGCAATGTGAAAACAAGCTTCCTTCTCTGTTCTATGTCTATGACATGGATTTTACAGAATGCTATCAGCACTTTCTAGAGTAATAATTTGGCAATGTTCTGTATAGGCAGTCTTTATTTGCACTCCTTCTATTCTCACTGTATCAAGTGGAGAAATTGCTCAATTTCTTTGCTTTTCTTTTGAGTTTCAACACAATTTACTTTCTATTAACTAACTTTTTGCTTTTAATCCGAGTTTCAACACAATTTACTGTCGATTTAAGTATCTACTGTTAATTTAATGGTAATATTTGTAACCTGATTCGAGGTTAATATAATCTAGCACATTTTTTCGGCTACGACTTGCATTGGGCTATCCTTTAGTTTTTATTTAGTTATTCTTGTCTGAATTACTTCTTTTTCTTCCTATATATGATACTCCGTATGATGAATAGTTTGTAGAGCTTTATATGGTGCTTGTGAGTTGTGACTGTCAATTTAGAATTGCTATGGTTGATTTTGAGTATTGATATATTATGGTTTATGGGACTGTAATATACGATGAATTGATCATTTTATGTGGTCCATTGATGTTTACACAGCCTTCAAACCATACGAGAGAAGTACACCAAGGCAAAATTTGAACAAGTGACTGACTTTCAGGTATGGGAATCATACTCCACTCACTTGGCTACCTTTTGAGGTTAATGAATTTTCTATGTATGCCTTGATTGTGGTGAGTGTAATTCCTGATTTAACTTGTAAAACCAGTCAATCCATTCCGTGTTTGGTAAGCTTCTGGCATTATTTAAGGGAAGCATTATTTGCAAATTAAAGCACATAATAGAAATGCTATTATTTGACTTTGTGATACACTGATACACATGTTTGGGATGCATGCATCCTTCAATTCTATGAGGAACATTTCATTCAAGTCCTGTCTATGCAAAACATTTCATTTGTTTTTCTCTATGTTGTAAATTGTAATGGATCTTGACAAGAAGGTTCTATTATTGTAACTGTATAATTAAGAACTCCCTCAGTTCTGTTAATGTAAGCAAAGGGTATATTTAGGCAGTATTTTCTGATCCAATCCTGTTATTTGCATCATTCTGAAATGCATCTGATATTTCACTGCTAATTTCTTCACCCTTCGCTTGAAAAGAATTTTCCTTGTTTGTTGATATGCAACAATTTTTTTGAATGTTGGCTCAGGTAATTTGGTTGTCACATAACTGTTCTGTTCTTTTGGTTACTGCAAGCATCTAACGGGGGAACCTAGGTGAGCACTGAAATTGCACAGATATCAACATGGATGCCTTGCGTTCAGAAAAGAAAGGGAAGAAAGTGATTGGGAAGAATTCAAAGCAGAACTTGAATGGGGAAAATGATAGTCCACAAGTTGAGGTTGAAGGATACTCCCGGAGGAGTAATTTAGAGAGGAGGCCTTGCATGATGCCCCTTCTACCCATTCCCAACATGGAAAGTAGTTCAAAGGCATCACTAATTTTGAGTGGAACAGCTTGTAAAGGAGTAACTGGGCCACCTATTGGAGCTTTTGACATTGGTGTCAGCAAATCTGCATACTATTTTCGTGTTGCTCTGCCTGGAGTTAAAAGGGACCCTGGTATGGTTTGTCACTCTTCATTCTAATTTATTGTCTTTAGCTTTTACTAGTTTCTATTCTGACACTAATTAATGTGGTGATTATGTGATTATGAAGCTTTAAAGGAGCTAAATAGTTAACATAAAAACCAGTTAGGCATTAATTGTGGTTTGGCACCCAAGCCTAATTTAGAAAGCTTGCAAAGCCTGCAAAAGGCTGCCGCATGGCAGCATAAGGCAGACTTCTGTACTAGTTTTTTTAAAAAAATTATTTATTATTTTATTAATAATTTGTTATTATATTCTAATATGATTTGGAAGTTGATCATTTTTAAAAGTGAGAGAGTATTGCAGGGGTGTACATAAAATATTAGGTGAATTACAAATTTGATGATGTAGAAGTAGGACTCACTTTTGAAAGTAAAAGAGTATTGTTGGGATAAGGATAGCCTAATATTTTATGTACACTGGCTAATTACTATTTCTTTTGTTATATTCTAAAGCTGCAATTTGAAGCATTACATACATTGTTTTCAAGAATAGCTACACCATTATATTATTGTGATTTGTGTCTCAGGCGACTTCAATTGTGAGATTGAACGTGATGGCATGGTTCATATCCGAGGGGTGACATCAACTGGCGGAAAAACCGTGTCAAAGTATTATCGGGTTTTTGCAATGACACATCAGCAGCAGTGCCCGCCTGGAGCTTTCACTCTGTCTTTTAGGTTGCCCGGGCCTGTTGATCCAAGGTTGTTCTCACCCAACTTTGGATGTGATGGTATTTTCGAAGGTGTTGTTGCAAAGTATAGCCCGTAGTTGCATGTATGCATGCATACAACAGTTTAGACTCGCCTGGTTTACTCGATCAGCCCTGTAATCCTGTATTTTGGTATTGACAATATAATGTGCCTTTTGTACTGTCTCCCTGCACTACACTTGCACATTCACTGCACTGCACTGCACTTGCACATTCACTGCACTGCAGAAGATGAAGGGTTACATAGGTGTTGAAATTACTCTTTGATGCTATCAACAAAATGCTGTGTTACTGTTATCAAGCTCCTAACAGATTAACAAAAGTTTTTAGATAATTAAATATTATTTTAATAAATAAAACAAATACTTGTAATTATAATTATTATTTATAAATTATTGAACTTTGTAGGTAAATGTTTGGGCAATGTTGTAAATAATTTTGTCAAAAAGTTATTGCAATAGTGAAAACGCTGTCATTTAGTGTTTTTGGCAGTAGTTATTTTTAGCTTGTTGGGTGCATGTTAGCCCATATTTCCAGGCTTCCGGCTACCATTCGCACCAATAATTCAATCTTGTATTTCTGCATTTGGAAATTTGGAAATTGGAATGTACTTTACTCATTAACCACGTCTTCGATCCCTTTGATCTTCTTACTCTCAAGTGTGCAATTCTGGTCGTCTTCTCCTCTCTTCTCTTTTTATTTGTATGACTGTTATTACCCAAGAATGGGAACCTAGGCTGTGGCCTGCGGGAGCCCATAGCAGGGGCCTAAGAAATAAGACTATAGCCTGGGTAGGGCGAGAAGATGACCCAAATCAAGATAGACGATTTGGAGGAAGATAGCTTGGGCATGACAATGTTTTATAAGGTAAATGACTGGTAAGTGTTGAAGGGATAGGTGTTGAAATTACTCTGTGATGGTTAGAACAAAATGCTATCTATCTTATGCCTAACAAAGATATAGATTCAAATTTAAGGGTTCATTTACTAAACATGGGATAGGTGTTCAAGGGTCGGCATAAGGAGATACTATAGGCAGATTAGAATGAGATTAAATAAAAATAAAAATTATCAGATTTAAATTTACCTACAAAATTTGTTCATGTACTAAACATGGCAATTTAACTTTCGTCACGTTATAAAATTATCAATTAGTACATTTCAATGTTTTAAAAATCCATTTTAAACAAATCACCATTTATATCATTTGTGTGTGTGTGTGTTTTATTTTATTTTTTAAATTGAAGTTGAGGATTTTATCAATGTCAAGGATAATGAAGGATATTAGTTTGAATTTGTTATAGAGTATTGCGAAGCCTAAGTTATCCCAAAAAAAAAAAAAAATCTAAAATTCAATGCAATAAGTAGATAATGATAGAGATAATCACTCTAAACCGAGTACTGGTACAACTGACTCTAAGAGATCAACATTGACCCACTAAGATTTGATCTCGTGACCTTTCATATGGAAGAGTCACTACATGTCATCTGAATACAATGCCCTTGGCAGTTGATTTGATTTCAAATAAAAATAATTTAAAAATAAAAAAGAAAGACCGGCGGTCCAAACTGAAACCTTCTGTTCAGGAACCGGGTTCCTTAAACGTTCCGCTTCCGCAGCAGTGACATCACCACTACCCTCACGCACTCACGCTCCTCCGTCTCCAGAAGCCAAATCTCTAAATCCGTCTGATTCCTCTCATCGTCTCCGTCGGCCGTCGCTCCAAGCTCCAGCACCCATATTTACTAGGTGACTTCTTGACTCCGGCTCTCTCATCGTCTCCGACTAGCGACGCGTTTCCTTTACTAGGAATACTAGCGTCTTTACAGGTTTGCCTCTAGGGTTTTACTGCGATATTGAAACTTCTTCTTCTGCTGTCATATATTCTGTTTTCTACTTTGGACATTGTATTTCATGGAATTAGAACTAGATATTCGTCGGATCCCCATGGTTTAGGTCATTGTGGACTTGTGGTAGTTCCTTATGTGCATATAATCTGATGCTACAATAAACCATGCATCTTTCTCTCTTGCCGTGTAGTTCAGAAATCAGAATGTAATTTCCACATATTTCAATGAAGAAAGCAGTCGTAGGTGGGTTGCCACATACAAGTGTTAGCAACTATTGATGGTTTAAGGTTAATTTTATTGATGGTACTTTGTTGTAGTTTATGCCATATTTGATCTCTATTGTACATTGTCCCCAAATTTTAGTGCTTAGCATGCTTATTATGAATAGTGTTGCAGAATTTTATAACCCCTCTTCTGTTGTCAGTAGGTAAAAAATTGAAAATTGGAGAGAGATTTCTACACTTCTCATTTGCTCATTAAAAAAATAATAATAATAATTACTGAGCAAGCTCACCCGTTTAGCCCGCCACGGGTTGAGTTCAAATCTCCCAACTTGTATTAAAAACAGGCTGGATTGGACCTGACCCTTTTGGGCCAACCCGTATTGACAGCTCTACCCTACCTGGAGTCACTCCCAATACTTACACTTAGTAGCTCCATTTTCAGCTTCCGCCATTTGAATCTGTGGTCAATCCAAAATGTTATTTTGTATTTCAAACAACTCTTTAGTAGTTGAGTTGAATTTACTCAATGTTGCAGCAGGCGCTAGGCACTTGTCGGGCGCTTGGGGGGCCTAGAGCGCCTAGGCGGCCGAGTAATCAGAGTATATTGTCTCCACTTTTCAGGGCTGGGAGTTGTTAGACTGTTATAATCTCTCAAACTAGTCAACTGCATATGTTGGTTGGTTGCGTACATGGTTGGAGGAATATAGAAGAGGAGTAGCTGAGTAGGAAAAAAAATCACTCAACCGAGTTGAGAGCCAACTTGGCGCCTAGGGCGCCAGTCGGTCGGCCGACTAAAAGCCGCCTAGAACTGAAATTGCCTCGGCCTAGGGGTGCCTAGGCCGATTTTTACAACACTGAATTTACTTCAAGCTCTTGCTGTCAGTCTTTCTGTGTGCTTGGGTTTCACTCCTTTTGAAACCTTGTGCTCAAGATTGGAGCTTTGGAGGCGATTTGCATATAATTTTTGACTGAGAAAGCTTTGCAATGGAATATGATTGTCTTGATGGCTGAATTAGGATTTCCTTTTGACAAGTAAAATTGATTCCTTTCATATCTAACAAGCTAACACAAAAAGGGAAATTTTGGTAGGCAAAAGTGGCAAAGAAAGAAATTAGTAAAGCACAATAGTAAAATACATATGAATGTATCTTAATTGTGCATGTTTATGCATAATTATTTTCTTTCCCTTACATGATGCCAGTTTTCTTACTTTTATCTTCCACATGCTGATTATACATTGTCTTCTGTTGTTTATTGTTTGCCAGTCTGGTTTGATGGAGCAGAACAATTATCTACTCTGTATTTAAACTTTGTTTTTTTTAATCAAAGAAATTCTATAATCTATACATATTAATGTTACTAAAATATCCATTAAAGAGGTTATCACTTGTTAATTGTGAATGTTTGTCGTTTGGAATGGTTTAGCTACCTTTTATCTTAGGAACCTCTAAATACATGTACTTCTGTTATGATCTTGAACATGCTTGATGCTACTTTTCCTGGTTTATTGCTCTTCTTACTGCTTATGTTTTGCAATGTGAAAACAAGCTTCCTTCTCTGTTCTATGTCTACGACATGGATTTTATAGAATTCTATCAGCACTTTCTAGAGTAATAATTTGGCAATGTTCTGTATAGGCAGTCTTTATTTGCACTCTTTCTATTAAAAGCTAAAATTTGGGTTTAACATATAAACTATTGGAAGGTATTGAGAGATTATAACCTTTTGTCAGGGCTGGGATCATGAGTTCTCATCAACATGCAGAGCTCCCTCAAGTAAAACCACTTGTAGCATTAAGTGGTACTGCAAAAGAAGGTGCCATTGGACCGACCCTTGGTTTGATTGACATTGGTGAGAGCGAGTATGCTTACCTTTTCCAAGTGTCCCTTCCTGGAGTAAGAGATAAAGGTCTGTTCTTCTACAATTTCATGTTCAACAATAGGTTATGGTTCAGGCAATCAAATGGATAGGTGCATAGAATTCTGATCAGTTGTATGCCAAGATCAGTGTTGACATCAGATTCTTATTGTACTTGAAAATGCTTTAATTTGCCTGGTAATCAATCTAGAATATGTTAATCAAAGTAAAACGTATGTTACTGCTTCTACTATTATAATACAATGACTACAGTTAAAGGATATTTGAATTAAGACCTATAACATGTCAATATGATTTCTAAGAAATGTAAACTTCTCTGTACTATACCCAGATGTTTTTTATGAGCATATATGGTGGTTGGTATTAAAGTGGAATTGATGTTAGTTGTATAATATCATACAGGTAATTTAAAATGCGACATACAGAGAGATGGCAAAGTCCAGATAGAGGGTATGATCTCAGAGTCTCAACTTTTAAAGAACGCCTCTGAAGTTTATCAAGTGAATGTACAAGAGCTTTGCCCACCCGGACCATTCACCGTATCATTCAGTTTGCCAGGAGCAGTGGATCCCAGGCTATGTTCTCTAACATTCAGACAAGATGGTATTCTAGAAGTTGTCGTACTGAAGTTTGGATTACCTCGGGTTTCAGCCGAAGGTTTGTCTGAAAATTGGTCCAATGGCTGGTTCCAACCTTCGTAACTGTAATCAGTGTTTAGGTATGTTTTCTTGATTATGGTCATAGGACATTTAATTTAAAAACTGATGAAGGTGGTTGTAATCCTTGTTGTGAAGAATGCGATAGAGTAAGGTCAGACTCCCCAAAGTCTAGGTTCCACCCACGCTTCATTTTCCTATATATGCTACTCCGTATATTGCTATTTACTAGCTGAATTATGGAAAATTGGATTTTGTACCATGACTACCATCCCAAATTCGTTTGATTTCCGACATGCTTTCCTAGCTAGTAGATATCCATATATAGTTGTATTTTTTGTCACTTAACATATGCTTTTTTTGGTCAATAAAAAGTGATTGGAACATGATTCTTGTATTTGAAAGTTACGAGTTCGATTGTTATTAACATTTTTTTGGTTAAGCTTGTTGTATAAGGTCTTTCCAGTATTGTAATTAATTTGTAAGTTATTACACATATTCAATCAATGAATGTCTGTTACTAAAAGTCTAAAACTAAGATTTTGATTCTAAGCATCAAAATTATACTCCGTAGTGTTGTGATAAATACAAGGTCAGCATCAGTTGAGGTTGCAGCTCCAATAGGATTATAGGAGGAATGAATGTTTATGAAACTGGTCAGCTTCAACTTTCATTTGACATGTTTGGTAAATAGTTGTTAGCTGATTAGGTTAGTGACTTTGACCAGTTGATAACATTAGTTGATTGTAAAAACATGTTTGGTAAATTAGTTGTTAGCTGATAATTGATTTCATACAACGTAATTTTTTCAAAAAGTTTATCAAAAAAGTTATTTTGTCTAATTTTTTAAATTTTAGTATTTTGAAATGATAAGTTGTTACAAAAATTAATTAATAAATTTATAGTGATCAAATAAGTCAATATTTACTCATATGATAATTATGTTACCATTGTCAATTTTCATAGAATACTTAATGAGTCAAAGTCTTCGTTTGTCTTGTTCGACGAAACTGGTGAACCTCAACTCTCATTCGACATATTGTCAATTTTCATTGAATACTTAATGAGTCAAAGTCTTCGTTTGTAAGTCTTGTTCGACGAAACTTGTTTCGTTCAACTCATAATTAACAGCAACGATATGGTATGATATACACTACAACTCGATCGATCTATCTGATCTATCACTTGAGCTTAACAAATTAAATTAAATTAAATTAAATGGCGTTGAAAGTGCTTTCGGCACTGGACTCCGCAAAAACGCAGTATTATCACTTTAAAGCTATCATCATAGCCGGCATGGGTTTATTCACCGATGCCTACGACCTCTTCTGTATCCCTCCCATCATGAAACTCCTCGCTCACATCCATTATCCCCACCAATGCGACGACACGCGCTGCGAAGTTTCTCCGGCCGTCAATTCAACCATGGTGGGAATAGCCCTCCTTGGAACCGTGATAGGCAAGCTGGTTTTCGGGCGGCTGGGCGATCTGGTGGGGCGACGCCGAGTCTACGGCTTTGCACTGGTGCTCATGATTGTCAGCTCTGTGGGCTGCGGATTCTCTATCTGCACCTCCACCACATGCGTCATCCTCAGCCTGGGTTTCTTCAGGTTCTTGTTGGGAGTGGGGATTGGCGGCGACTACCCTTTGTCGGCCACCATAATGTCGGAGTTTGCTAACAAGAGGACGCGCGGCGCTTTTATTGCGGCCGTGTTTTCCATGCAGGGTTTTGGGATCCTGCTCAGCTCCACCGTCACCATGGTTGTGTGTTCCATCTTTATCCGGGCTACCAACCTCTCGCCGGAAAATCTTCATACTCCGGCGTCGGCGGACTTGGCCTGGAGAATTATTGTGATGATAGGTGCAGTGCCGGCGGGGATGACATATTACTGGCGTATGATGATGCCAGAGACCGCCAGGTTTGAAATTTCATTCTAAGCTCGATCTCATGCTGATGCTGGCATAGAGTCATTATAATATATAGATGCTTCCAATTGCATGCGTTGACGTCACTTTATTTCTTCTTATTCGATCTATTTAAGGATTCCATAGCGGCAGTTATGTTTGTTGGTTAATTATACCTGGCCTAAAAATACTGAATCATAAATTACAATTAACACTACTTATAATTAACTAGCTAATAATTAACTGGCTAATTAACACTTTTACCCCTGAATTATTTCATTTTTAAAAATTTAGTCCTGCAGTTATTAATTTAAAATTTTAAACCGATTTATCAAATTTCATTAACAAACACTTTGTTATTAGGTTATTTTTGTCCTTTAAAAATTAATATTTATGGTTAAAGTTTTACTCTTTACATGTAAATTAATGTCATTTTTAATTGTAAATATTGATTCTAAATAATAAAAATAATGTTAATGAAATTTGACAATTATATAACACTAGGACTAAAATTACAACGTTATAAATAATCAATAAGCTAAATTTATTTAAATTAACTTGGGACAAAGTTTCAAAAAATAAAACAATTCAAGATCCAAAATTATATTATGCTTTCCCTATAATACTATGGCCCTGGTAACATAGTTAGCTTCAATTTTGACTTATTTGATAACTATTAGCTGTTTGACTTGGTTAAACAATAAGTGTTTAATTAATTAGCTTTTGGTAATAGCCTTTTGAGTAAGTTATTTTGCATGTAGTAGATAATGTTATTAACTAGTCAAATCCACTAATCAAATCAGCTAACAGCTATTTACCAAACACCTTATGCATATATGGTATAGGTACACAGCTTTGGTGGAGAAAAATTTGTTGCAAGCAGCCAAGGACATGGAAAAGGTGTTGGACGTTTCATTAAGCCCCATAGAAGAAGAGGAGGAAGAGGATATCGATCCAGAATTATCTTCTTCACCCATAAGAAACACACATTTCTGTAATAATGACTATTCCTTATTCTCCAGAGAATTCTTCCGCAGACATGGCCGCCACCTCCTTGCTTGTTCCCTTTCATGGTTTCTTGTGGACGTCGTCTTCTACAGCAGCAACCTCTTTCAATCCCACATTTACCACCAATATCTCCCTGCAACCACAAAAAATGCTTTCCTAGAGGCCTTTAACATCGCAAAACTCCAAACCATCATCGCCATTTGCTCCACAGTTCCTGGCTATTTTTTCACCGTCTACTTCATCGATCGCATTGGCAGAGTCAAAATCCAGATAATGGGGTTCTTTTTCATGGCCGTGGGGTTATTCGCCATTGGAGTCCCTTACTATAGCTTCTGGGCGGAGAACAATAATGGAGTTAAGGGTGTGGGGTTCATGTTCCTTTACGGACTCACCTTCTTCTTCTCCAATTTCGGGCCCAACACAACCACTTTCATAGTCCCGGCGGAACTGTTCCCGGCCCGGTTCAGAACAACGTGCCACGGAATATCCGGCGCCGCCGGGAAGGTGGGGGCGATTATTGGGGCGGTTGGTTTCTCCTGGGCTTCCCATAAGTACAAGCAGAAAGAGCATAGGGCAGGGATTGGAATGACGGCGTTGTTGGTGATGCTGGGCGGAGTTTGTATTGCCGGAATGATAAGCACCTACTTTCTGACGCCGGAGACCAAGGGGCGATCATTGGAGGACAACGAAAATTTTGAGGAACATCCTCAAAGATGTACTGCTTCCTCTATGTGTCTCTCGCACTGTTTCAAAGGATACACTGCTGTTGAGCCACGATCATCAACACCGCCAGCTAACAATAATAATCCTGCTGCTGCTGTTAATAATACTGCTTAATTCATCATCTATTTATATATATATAGAAGAAAAAGTTGTAGTAGTTGTGTGTAAAAAATATCAGATAAAAGTATTACGGGGGTGTATTCAATCATGACTTTTGTAGAGTTTTAAAGACTTTTAAAATTATAGATTTTAATAAACTTTGATTGACTTTCGTAGAGTCGTTCAAAACTTTTTAAAACTTTATAAGACTCTCTAAAAGTCTATACAAATAACATTCATAGACTTTTATCAACTTTTTATTTTAAAAAGTCTACAAAAGTCATTGAAATTCTAAATTGAATATTACGAATATAAACATAAAAATAATAAAAATCAAAAAATATATAAGTATTTATATGAATATTATGAAACATATATTAAAATTTGACGATGAAAAATTTGCTTTGTTCATGTATTTAGGGAGAATTAGAGATAGTTAGGGATAAAAAATTCATAGAAAAAATAAAAACCAATATAAACAAGCAATAATGAAGCAAAAATAATATTATTTCGAATTTTTAGATGAAGATTTTAAAGGTTAGGAGAGAAAAAAATTGGTAGAGTTTAGGTATGACGAAAATATAGGATAATGAAGAAAAAATAATTTTATTGAATTTAGATAGGTTTATAGAGTTTAAATAGGGGGAAAAATAGAGTTTAAATAGAGAGAGAAAACATTCAAAGTTGTTAGAAAGAAAATTTGAAATCTTGGGGTTGAGGGTTGGATTTCAACTATTTATATTTGACTAGGAAAAGTCTACAAAAGTCTTAAAATTAAAAAGTCTACAAAAGTTCATAACTTTTTGAATACCACATGACTTTTAAAGACTCTTTAAAAGTCTTAATCGAATACCACATGACTTTTAAAGACTCTTTAAAAATCTTGATTGAATACCGCCTAACTTTTAAAGACTCTCTAAAAGTTTGAATTGAATACCTCCAAACTTTTAAAGTTCATAAAAGTCTTTAAAACTCTATGAAAGTTATGATTGAATACACCCCCTTAGTGTTTTTTTATAAAAAAATAAATAAATAAATTGTGTGACTATTATATTAGTGGAAAATTAGAAATATAATGGATATATGTTGGATGCCTAAGAGGAGAGGAAATCACAAAAATTAATAGGACACGTAATGATTACATGAAGTGCATGAATGTAAATTACGTTTAAAGAGCTGAGTATTTGTGTATATATAAAGTTACAAAGATTCATGGATATATGTTTAATGTTTTATGTTACTATCAATTTCCTCTCTCTCTCTCTCTCTCTCTCTCTCTCTCTCTCTCTCTCTCTCTCTCTATATATATATATATATATATATATATATATATATATATATATAGTCAATTATATATGAATTTACAGCACAAGTAGCTTAGTTGATTTTGGTGTATTAGATTATTTTAAACTATGACATAAATCAAATTCGAGCTATCACAATGTACATGAGATAGTTATACTTAATGTAGTGAATTTTATATATGCAGTTATAGATTAGATTCTATCTTGGTAACTCAACTGAACATGAACCACAGAGGCTAAGGAACCCCCGGAACCCCCTCACTTTGAGAGATTGCTCTCACACTATGGCTGGTGAGACTTCACCTCTATGACCAGTTGAGCTGCCTATGCGGTCGGTCATCTTTTCATTATATCAAGGCTGGTGAGACTTCACCTCTATGACCAGTTGAGCTGCCTATGCGGTCATCTTTTCATTATATCAACCCTAAGGGCCCCCCACACCCCGGTCCGACAGAGCATGTGGGAGGATGTAAATCATGGTGACTCAACTGAACACCGCTGGTGAGACTCGATCTCTAGCCATTCTTTCAAAGTTTTACCTCTATGACCAGTTAGCTACCCAACCCATGCTAGCATCTTTTCATTATATTGCGGAGACAAATGGTTGACCCACAAATAAAATTTTGAATTGAGTAAATTACATATTTCCTATTAATCAATTATTATTAATGACAATAAAAAGGTCCAATTAATGATGGACTTACATATAAATGTCAGTACTGCCCTTAACTACGTCTTGCCTTCATCTTCCAACATACTCTCTTGTCTTCAAACTTTTACCATCAAATATGTTAGTAGATCAGTGAATTTGCAAGTTCACAACTTAGTCCGAGCTGCTCATTCGAATTCTGGTCGTTATATCTGGGAAGATTCCCCACCTCACTGTATTGGATCATTGATTAATTGAGTTTGTTTTAAAATAATAGAAAAAAAAAAAAAAAAAAGGCAAATCATGAAGTTAGGAAATTCTCGTGCATGCCTTCTGCTAGTTGCGGTGCCTCACGCACGTATGACATAAAATGCTATGGAGTATTAATTAACATTGCTATTTGTGTTATTTAGTATGTCGGATAAGCATGCCTAACAAACTTGAACTTACAAGTTTTAGCCTTTACTTAAGCCACTCTAGTAAATTGTTGGGCGGAGGTTATGTTGGTGAACGATTAAGTCCAACACTAAGTGGCTAAGGAAATTGTTAGGTGGAGAAAGGATCAAATTCACCATCCTACCTTTTAAAAATATAATGTGGCAACGATATAAGAAAATAAAGTAGCTAGCGCATTCATTATGGGCTATAACTTTTCATATAGTGGTAAGCGCTTGATATATTCTAACAAATGATATCAGAGTCTATCAAGGGTTCGGCGACTCTCCGTTAATAATGTAAAGGGGAGGAATTGGTGTCTAAAAAATGTGGCGAATTAAATATTCGAGATGACAATAATATTCCATTACTTGTATACGCACACATTTCCCATAATTAATGTGGAGAACAACCCTTTTAGCATAGAAACAATGAGTATGGGAAACATTTGAAGCATATATGGATGTTTTTGTAAGAATTGAAGTTATTGGGTGGGAAACAGTTTGTGTATGATTTCATAGCCGTTAGCAGTTAGGAGTATGTTATATATATGTCGGGTAAATGGGAGAACTGTCCTCCACCGTGGTGGCAGCAGGGAAAATGAATACACAATCAGGGGGTTGGGCCGTCGGTCCATTAATAAGGGCCCACACTCGATACATGAGAGGGCCCCTTTCTTTTCCACTGCAACACAATAAATAAATATATATATATATATATATATATATATATATATATATATATATATATATATATATATATATATATATATATATATATATATATAATATTCAAATGGGTTGGGGCCCTGCCTTAAGTGAGGGCGGAGGCTTTGAATTCAAAGGAACAGCAGAACAGCGACTCATTAATGAGTCACTTAACATTAAGGATAAGACAAAATAAAGATAAATGTCAAGTGGCTCGATAAATTTGTCTTACGTCAAAAAATAAATGTTTATAACACAATTTAACTGGAATAATAATCTACACAATTGTTATGTTGTGCATCCGTATGCACCATGCATGGTGCATACGGATGCAGAGACGACGTCGTTTTGACGTCTAACTTTAAAAAAAATTCAGAATTGCATAACTACACATCCATAATTTCATGACTATATATCCAGAATGACATAAATACACATCCATAATTTCATAACTATAAATCCAGAATTGCATAATTACACATCCATAACTTCATAACTATACATCCAGAATTGCATAACTACACATCCATAACTTCATAGCTATAAATCCAGAAATACATAACTACACATCCATAATTTCATAACTACACATCTAGAATTGCATAATTATACATCCAGAATTTCATAACTAAAAATCCATAATGAATGAATTAAAAAATGAATAACATAATGCTGTTGCTGGGAATCGAAACTATTTTTTTTTTTTAAGTAGGACGCACATTTTGATACAAAACGACATCGTTTTTGTATCTGTATGCACCAACATAATTTACCTAATCTACAAATTAAAAGACTTAGCCCATCCAGCTAAATAATCAACCTAGAGTTGATTCACCCTAACTAATGACAGAATTTAAGACGATAAATCTACAAAATAACTAGAGGTCAGAGAGAGATTAACCAGAGTGTGTCACATTATGTCCCACTAGTCGCTTACTATTATTATATTAGTTTGATCCTTATACCCACTTCAACAACATCACTTACACACACTCATTGCCTTATACTCACACTCTTGTAATAGTAATGGTACCTGGGTTGGACTTCTATTTAAAAGATTGTGAGTTTGAGTCTCAATGGAGACATTATTGGTTCTTTGTATTTCGATCAATAGGTTGAGAAAGTATATATATGAACAGATATTACATTGTAATAGACCAGTAGCATTCAAAAAATTGGCCGGGGCGGATTAAGAAAAATTATTTATGTGGGGCATAGTTCAAATAACTTTTGAAATGTCAATGATAGTGACAAAATATCAAACACTCATAATATGGTTCAAATACAAAATACAATATAAATTACAATACAATATTTATGATAGACTACCTGATAATTAGGCGGCAGAACTAAAATTATACTTGGCTGAGGTGAAATTTTAAAGTACTTTGAAATGTTATAAAAATATTTATAACAAAATATGAAACATAATCAATTAGATAAAATAGTTTGAATAGAAAATAAATTATATTTATAAATACTTTAATTTTAATTAGATCAAATTTAAATTTTTTAAAATTAATTTGAATATATATGATGAAATTAATACAAACATGTGGCCTCCATTAACTAAATGATTCAAAAAATTTGACTTAAAAATAACATTTAATTTATTAAAGGGCTGAAAGAGCTAAAATAAAGAAAACAACTAAGCTATCAAGTACCTAATAATTTGTACATTAATTTTGATTTTATATATAAGGGAGTGGGGAGGGGTGAGGGGGAGGGGCATCTACCTTCACTGTCTCTATTGTAGATCCATCCATGATAATTGGACAATTTTGATTCTCATTAAATTGACCGATTGCAATCACTAGTATATTCTGAACTCTTAATCTCTTTTATATTATCATAATGTCATTCTACACATCTCCTCAACTATTCTAATTTACATTACCAAATGTTTTTTTTTCAGTAATGTGATGGTTGAATGGCAATTTTTGTAAAAATTATGATACGCAATTGATTGGTGATGATCAATGCAGCAAGAATAATGTATATTACCTTATATATGTAATTAGGAAAATAATTAGCATTTATGTGTAATTGATAATTAGGAGAATAATTAGTTATTTCATTATTAAAATTACATTATTTTAAGAAGTGAGATAGTATATATATGGTACTCTATGTAATGTTAAAGGCATGCAGGAATCAATTATATTAAAAAGTTCTTCATTTTCTTTCGTTATATTGTTTTACTTTTGAAGTTTACCGTGACTCGAATACGGTTAGGAGTCAGAAACCTACTCGAAAGATTTCTTCCTTGCGTACTAAATTTCAGTATGTAACAAATTATGACTTGTATTGCAATCCCATGTAACCATCCTAATCCTAGTTTAAATCAAACAACAAATGAAATGGGTGGATGATTGGAAACCACGTCAGCTGTCAAAATTAGGACCCCATTCTACATATATTATTGATGCAGGATGAGACTCAGTAGATCTCAGTAATCTCACAAACAAATTAAATTGATAGGGGAGAAGTATAACACAACATAATAGTAACAATATATATATATATATATATATATATATATATATATATATATATGCCAATTAAGTATCTTGTAGTTGGATGGTATCATTGTTACTGTTTCAAACGGAAGGATATTAACTATATATCATGTTGGACAGATATTATATATAAGTTAGATTGTAGTATTAAAAAAATAAAATATTGTTTTGTCACGAACTCAATTATAACTATTATTTTAAAGTATTTATTGATCCCCTGACTGTGAAACTTTGATTTGTAATGATCAAATAGGAGCTGTGAGTGATCGTCTCATGCTTGAGACGGAGTAGGCTGTTTTGTTTTTCTATCCCTCAGCCTGGGGTGTCCCTCCTCCCGTTTGTAGTTTCAAAAAAAAAAAAGTATTTATTGAATAAATTTTATCTTTTTATAATATATAATAAATAATTGTATTTTGGAAACATAGTAGCATAGTATCATATCATATCATAGAAGAAATAACAAGTGGTGTGGAGACCTTTTTCAGCTGTGGTGTGTACCCCAGACCCAGGCCCTGCCTGCCTTCTGATGATGGGCAGCTAAGCTGAGCTAAGCTATCACCTATATCCAACAGCTTCTCACGTGTGCGTCCACAACCTTTTCTACCAAAGTCAAGCTGGATAATAATTAATAATAATGTGTCAAGCACATATGATACTTCTACAACTTCTTTTACGATATTAACTCTTTGAACTGCATTATTTAGAGAAAGTATAGAACATATATTTACCTTGTAATAGAGTCAATAGTATTAAAAAAAATTAATAATAATGTGATCGGGTGACAATGCAAAACATGGAGTGCATATGGTTTTCTAACATTAATTATTAACATATATATGCGGGTATACATTTATGTAGTCCAAAATGCATGCAAGAATAATGCCATAAATTAAAGTTATTTGTGGGTCTTGATATGCTCTTTATCAATGAGGTGAAAGCAGGGCGGGGCCATCATGTGTGTATATATATAGATGCAACAAGTCCGGGCAGGGAGGCACGATATAAGTTTAGTGATAAGCTAAGGCGGCGCCAGATATATATGGAGTAATTCATCATATATATATATATATATATGTGTGTGTGTGTGTGTATCGTAACCTTTCTAGGTCCACTTTCATCAATGAAATGAAGCATACATACCTACAATTGTATTTATCAATTATTGTATGTATTAAATACAATAGTATAAATGTCGATGTATGTTCATCTAATACTCCTATCCGTAAAATAATAATTATAAATGAAGAAAATGAGTAAAAAAGATAAGAGAGAGAGGGGGGATAACGTTACGTAAGAAAAATATTACATGTACTCTTATTTTCTACTTTTTAATTTTTACTTCACACACAAAATTTTGATATAGATATTTGTATTGGGATTCACATTAAAAAAATAGTCTATCAATGTCTGTCACATTAAAAAATAAAATTTAAAAAATATTATTTAGAAGTCTATGTAGTAGAACTCGAAGAGCATCCACACTAAGGGCATCCCCAATAAAGGGGATTTTAGATAGATTTTGGAATAGTAAAAGCTTGAGGTTGGATTTTAAACAAATGTGGTGGTTGAAAATTTAGTGGATTTTTCTCCTGCAAAAATGGGATCTTTGTGGGTCCCATTAAATATTAAACAAAAAGAAGAGATGAGAAAATAAGCGCGTACTGCGCAATTTTCGCGCCCAGTAAGGCGCGTGCATAGCACTCGCCTTCTAGGCGCGTTTGGCACAGCTTTTAATATTTCTTTTTCAGATTTCTTTTTTATTTTTTTCTTTTTTCTTTTTCTTCTCTTTTTTCCTTCATCCTCTCTCCTAATAGGCACCTAAAATACCGCAAAAAAACTCATTACTATTGAGGATGCCCTAAGGGGAGAATGTGGGGAGCATGTCAGATTAAATCTCCTTGTTTGAGTTCAAAGCTAATGTAGGGAAGATTTATTTGGGGAAGAATTCCTCTGCTAATGTTAAAAATATTGTCAGGAAGACAAAATAAAGAAGAAAAGGTGCTGTGCGCGTATTGCGCACAGCACCTGCCCATACGGGCGCGTGCAATGCACGCGCCCAAGGGCACGTCAGGCGCCTGACACTAATACTTTTATATTTTTTTTTTCAAAAATCAATTTTAATTTATTTTTGTTTTCTTTTTCTTTCTTCCATTTCATCTTCTCTTTCCTAATCACTCTTACATTCTCCCCCATTCTCCCCAACCATTGTGGATGCTGTTAGGTAATGGAATGAAGATGAGAGCATGCAGTACGTGCGCACTGCACTGAACAGCACAGAAGAGCAGTGCAGCTAGGTAGTAGATAGCAGGATGGATTACTATTTTTTATCTTCTGTAATCTGTGGTGACTATCTTTTACGTGATTTCATTTCTATGACACATTTCCAGCTTCTTTAAACATCTTTTTTCGAGTCTCATCTCATCTTTTAACTAAACTCCCTACTCGCTACCTAATCCTATCTATGCTTGCTTACGTTTACCTACATCTCTGCTCACGCCCGCACCTCTATTCCCAGTAATTATATATATTTGAAAATAGAGTTAAATTAGTCATTAAATTTTACTTAAAAAGTTAATTATGTCTTTAAATCTTGTAAAAACTACAATTAAATACATAAATATGTTATTTTGAAGTATTGAAGTTTAAAAATTGATCGGTACCCTATAATTACAGGTTACCTAAAATTCCTCCAACCCTTCCATAACTTTTCGGCTAATTACTGGTGACCGGTGACCAAAAATCGTAGTTGGAGTAGGTGACCAATTTGTCTATCTTCTCATTTGCCGAAGAAGGCAAGCCAGTTGTCGCCTTCTCCGGCAACTAGAGAAGGCGAGTAGGCGGCCAACTGCTTGCCTTCTCCAATTGTCGGAGAAGGCAGACCAACTAGTCACTTCCTCCAAATGCAATCAGCAATTGTCCGATCACCAGTAATTGTGGCCGAAATCTTAGGTGGCCTGTAATTACAAGCTACCAACCAATTTTTGAGTTTCAATGCTTCAAAATAAGATGTTTATGAGTTTAATTGCAACTTTTGAAAGATTTAGACCAGGACCTATTTGACTTTTTGAGTAAAGTTTAGGGTCATCACTTTCCCTATATATTTCTTTATTTTGCATTAATCATCTCATTTTACTCCTTACTAACTAATTCTTTTAATATTTCTTCATAGCTTTTACAGATGTTTGAATCGAATTTGTTTTTTTTTTTTTTTTAAATAAATTTAAAATTAGTATAAGATTGCCACACAAATTTTAAGCCGGCCTTTAAGTTCATTCTGTATTATTGATATTGTTGTGGTCCAAATCCAACATCCTCCATGTAAGGAGTAACAAGGTAGGCATGCATGCCCAGATAGAGGCCGGTGGGAGCTTGAAAGCTAAGGTATGTAGGTCGTTGAATTAGTAATGACTACACTAAAGTACAAATTAAACAAAAGGTTAATTATTATGCCTAGTTATCAGTCTAAACAATTAAGTGAATTTTTACAATAAAAAAGAATAAGAGAATAATGATCGGACTTTACAGAAAAATATATATATAAGTTGTAAAGAAGTTGGAAAGTGACCCTAATAGCACCACCAATCATTATCATTGTTATTTTCATTTATCATTGTTAGGAATGATTAAATATGATATATTGTGTAAGATGTGATATTCCATATATGCATATACATACAAAGTACATAAAATAATATAAAATATATATATATACACACACATATATGTTCACACACACACGCATAAATCTGTGCAACCAAACCTAACTTGGCATTTACTAGCCCCCTACCCCCTGTCCATCAATTCCCTAGTTTTCCCAAATTATTTGTATTTTTAATATTAATATAGGCAAACCCTTTTCAGGTGGGGCATTTTAGGTTCTGTCGCAAGCTATCTAGCTCTACCCTTTAATTTATGAACCCATTTCAAATCTATGCATTATATTGCCACTCAATACACTCACTATCCCTACAATACATACATATATACATACGCTAGCTCTCTGATTCCTCTGCTTTTAACCCTTCCCACATATAAATTCCCCCCTCCACGTTTCGCATTCTTCTCTTCTGTATATCTATACAACTTCAACTCAGGTTAGAGAGAGAGAGAGAGAGAGAAGTGGTGAAGATGTTGGGCATAGAAGATATACTGTGCGAGCTGAATAGAGAGGAGGATAACGGCGAGCAGGGTTTGCCGCCTGGTTTTAGGTTTCATCCCACCGACGAAGAGCTCATCACCTTCTACCTCGCCTCCAAGGTCTTCCATGGCACCTTCTCCGGCATCCACATCACAGAAGTCGACCTCAATCGCTGCGAACCTTGGGAGCTCCCAGGTACCTACATCTTCGATTCTCATCTCTTTCAAACATATATAAATTCAAGAAACATAGTACTATTCGGCGTATTAATTTCACCTAGCTAGCAAGGTTGTATCCGGCCATGCATATATAGTACGTACGTACGTACGTAGTCGTCATAGCTGCGCTAATGGATAGATGGATGTGCAGATGTGGCAAAGATGGGAGAGAGAGAATGGTACTTCTTTAGCCTCCGAGACCGCAAGTATCCGACCGGGTTGAGAACAAACCGGGCGACGGGAGCCGGGTACTGGAAAGCCACCGGAAAAGACAGGGAGGTTTACAGTGCCTCCAGCGGGGCACTTCTGGGCATGAAAAAGACACTGGTTTTTTACCGAGGACGAGCCCCTCGCGGTGAGAAGACCAAATGGGTCATGCACGAATATCGCCTTGACGGTCATTTTTCTTGCCGTCACACTTGCAAGGTCAGCTTCATTTCTTTCTCTCTCTCCATATATTTCCCTTAAACAACAAATAAATAATACACAGTACGTACTCCGACTTGCTTACAGTCCGTAGTAATGTATAATAATACTCCGTATATATAGATAGAGAAATAACATGTATAGTTGCAGCAATGTTTGTCCTTTTAGGGTTGACTTGTAATATTTTGTCTGATGATGAAGTCTTTGTAGATTTGAAATGAAAGATTGATGGATGGAAAGGTTCAGTATAATATAATGTTGCTGAAAATAGTTTACATTAGTTTTCTTTATTAGAGCATTTAATTTAATATATATTTTATGTTCAAGCTAAGGACTATAAAGTAACAAGCTAAGGATACTATTACATGTCCCAATATAATAAATGAAATTGTAATCAAGATTATTAGAAAATTTTCCTAGTTTAGTGATGTTATATATTTGGTTGGCAGGAGGAATGGGTGATATGCAGAATATATCATAAGATAGGGGAGAAGAGAAATGCAATAATAATGGCACAGGCTGCAGGAGGTGGAGGACAAAGCTACCCTACCTTAAAGACATTGACATCATCGGCCAACGTAGCCTTACCTCCATTTCCTGAAATGCAGTCTCAGAATCCGATGCAGCATCATCATCATCACCACAAGTCCATTGTATTTCATCATCACCAAGAAAATGACCTCAAATCCTTAAACCACCACCACCCTCTACTTCCTCAAACCAACCACCTAGGCCTTCTCCCCATAAATGGTGTCCTTTCCTCGTCCTTTTCTGCCATCACTTGTAATAAAGCAGCAGCAACCACCTCAAAAGCCAACACAGACAAATACAACATGTTAGATTGTAACAACACAATCTTGTTACCCTCTTCTTCATCATCATCCATCCTATTCAAATCTCAAACTGGAGCTTCCAAATCCAATGCCATTGCTGCTACTGCAAACTGCAAAATTTCTCCCTGCCATCTTTCTCATCCTAATCCCAATCCTAATCCTAATGCACCCACCCTAAAATACCAGAACAATCCCAACCCACTCTTTTATGGAATGGGGATTGGGATGGATGCAGCATTAGAGACGATGATGCCATCAGCTGCTCCTACTTTCGATGACATGTCTACTTCCTCTGAAGCTTTCACCAGGACCTGTTCTCAGATGGTGGATCCCCCTATTCAACTCACTGCAGATTCTTGGCCTATGGATCTCTAACTTTATATACCCACTTTCATATATATATAGAGAGAATGTGTATGATGTATGTTCCATTGCAGCTTTACACATTCTTGTGCTCTCAATGTAGTATATTTAGTAGAGATTCATCTGGTTGTAGACTTGTAGCTACCAAGCATTACATTATCCTAAATTTAGATTCCATATTTCCTTCCACTCTACAAACAGTGCTTGCAAAACTTGAAACGGAGATTTGAAGCTAGGGAGGATTTTACTCACACAGGGTGGTGGGATTTTCAGTGTGATGTGACGACTATGATAAGATGGGAGAAAATCTATTGATGATTGACAATGGGATTTGGGGACCCGACCCTCTCTCAGTTCCCTCACTGTGCCACCCCAATCAACTATCTGGCTCCAGTTGTAGGATCTGAACAGAGAATCTGTATGATGGTATGAACATGAAATCATGGATACTGAGATCCCCCCCCCCCCATACTTAAAATACACCAAATTACTGAATAATCTAGTCTAATAGATTAATGCACAGTGCAATAGCTGAACAAGAAATTTGAGAGTGAGAATCTTTGATAATGAGTTCAAATGAATTTCTTGAATATAAAAGAGGATAGTTCAGGGTGGATATGAGTAGCAGTCTATTTTCAGGATATAGATGAATATTTGATGCTGATGATAATTCCAATCACATGAAACAAAACTCAATTGTCACATCACACATCATAGTACTGGATGGTAATATAGAGAAGAAAAAAAAAAACAACCTGTTCATGTTTCCTTTTAAAGTTATTTGTGGAGAATTTGCCTAGTTTTATTCTGGTGCACTTTGTTCTTCCTCCTGCATTACATCATACTGTCCTCGATTTCTTTCCCATGATTTCCCTGTGGAGAAGAAAATATTTTATACAGCAGCCTAAAACCAGATCATTCTGAAAATTTGCATCCACAGAATCTCAGGAATATTATTACAGAATTGAAGTGCCACAGTATCACTACAACTTGAGTACAGAATCGAGCTGCCACACTGTATTATTATTTATTACATATCACATTTCATTCAGAAGCAACATATTACTTACTGTTGGGAAACAGCAATCTTGAAAGTCCCATCCCTGCCCTGCATCAAGAATAATTAACAATTTAGTTGCAATAATAATAATCATAGCCACTAATTATGAAGATCAGTGATCAGGAGTCCATCAACATAGAATAAATACTTATAATCATTGTTTTCAATAATTTTCCATGAAAGCAGAAACTCAGAATCGCATGGTATCTTAAACAAAGAAAGATGATATCACAAACCGAACTCCAAAAAAGCTGACACAAAAGGAATATGCGAAAGAATAAAGGTAGCAAACGAATAGTGGAATTGAAATAGCGAGCAGCAAATTAAAATCAGATACGACATAGGCATTATTATAGGGAGAGACAGACCTAAGAAGAAGATGATGATGGTTTAGGTTTTGGAATAACAAAATCGGGAGGAGAGTAGATCACAGCGGCGGCCATAACTCCCGGCAACACCGCGTACTTAGCCAGCACGGCCAGCTTCGACACCACCGCCTCTCCGCTCATCCTTTCTACACTACTCTTCTGCTCACGAGACGCCGCGTCGCACTCGCACACCTTCAATTCGCCTCTGCAACTCTACTTTGCGAAATGGATCCCGACCCGATTGCCGCTAAACTTGTAACTTGTAAACCGATACAAATTTGTGTATAACTAACTTATAAAGGATTATTAAAATATACTTGTAAAGGATTGGATTATTCTCAATAGAAATTAAGTATGAAATCAAATTTTTAACTTAAAAAATCAATTATTATTATTATTATTTTTTTTTTTAAAAAAAAAAAAATCACTCATTGAATGTCAAACAAATGGATTAGGAACTTCTGCAACATAGCCAACCTGCATCCTAAATAAACATTAAAACAATGAAAGAAAAACCAAAAAAAAAAAAAAAAACATGAATGAGGATGACAAAACACTCAAAAAAACTCATCAACTATGTTACATTTTATTCCTTCTCTGATCTGGTACCCACGTATTAGTTGTGTTAGTGCAGTCATGAATCTATCATTCATCCTCAAATCTATTGGGAGATTGAGAGTCCCTCCTCATCATCATCTGTACAATATCCTGCACAACTTCCGACATGGGTGGCCTGAACTCCGGCTCCGGCTGCTCACATTAACAAAACATTCCAACAAAGAAAGCTAAGTGCCAAAGCAGCTAAACAACAATAGTCTGTATTGTACGAGGTTGGTTAATTAATGCACCTGAATGCAGCGGGAAATTATGTCAGCAAAGTGTGATAACGATTTGACGGAGTATTTCCCGCCAAGAGAAGGATCGGCCATTCTTGTCAACGCATCGATATCATGGAGCTGAGGTATCGCCCATCTCACCAACAATTGCTCTCCTCGCCTCCTAGTCCTAATCAAATGTATATATGATCACAGGTACTGAAACATATAATGTTGGTAAAACTGCAAAAAAAAAAAAAAAAAAAAAAAAAAAAACGGTTTTTTACCTGTCATATGACATTCTTCCTGTTATGAGTTCCAACATCACCACTCCGAAACTGTAAACATCACTTTTCGAGGTATATATTCCTGACTCTACTTCCGGGGCGCCATAACCATAGCTTCCAAGAAGCTGTCCTGACAACTGGATAAGCCGTGATGAGAGTTCTCAATCACTTTAGCAATTATTGCCTAATTAAATAAATCTTCCTGAATAAGAAACTACCTGATTGATAGTTGCTGATGATATCAATGGAGCCAAACCACAATCAGAGATATGAACACCCAGTTCATCATCAAGGAGAACATTTGCAGATTTGAAGTTTCTGTGAATAACTGGTGGCTCACAAACCTCATGCAGATACCTTCAACATATAAAACAACAAACAGTTGATTGTAACAGCTGATTACTAGTAGAACGGGTGAAAAATTCCTTAGTTACTACTTACTCCAAGGCTCTTGCAGCTTCAAGAGCCATCCTGATTCGCACATTCCATGAAAGTGTTTTCTTGAATTCATCATTGTTGGAGTGTAGGGCATCCTGCAGTGTCCCGTTACTGTAATACTCATGGATCAGGAGCCTTTGACCATGCTCCACACAGTAACCCGTGATTTCAACAACATTGGCGTGATGAATCTTATGGATGTTGTTTACCAGATCAACAAACTCGTTATCCTTGAGTTGATTGGAGACTCTATTGTCAAGTTTCTTAACAGCAAACAACTACAGAACAATAAGGCAACTGTCAAAGGATGTTGAATTGAAAGACACAAATAGAATCAACAAAGAAAAGAAGAAAGGATTAGCAAGTTATGACTATTCTCAAGAACTATTCCATCAAATTACCCTGCCATCTGGAAGCTCTGCTTTATACACAGTGCCCAAAGTTCCAGCTCCAACAAGATTATCTTGAGAAAAGCTATTGGTGTATTGCTGAAGAGATGCAACTGTGAAAGATTTCACTGAAGTTGGTAAAAGTGAGCTTTTTGGATGCTTCATTATAACTCTTTCTTCTGTGGGAGGAGGAGGAGGTGGCAACATAAAATCAATATCTAATCTGCTCAGGCTAATCACATGGCTGTCCTTTTGAATGGAAGCCGGTTTTCTTGGTTGGTAATCTTCATTTGGCTTCAAGACTAGGGGAGCTGTTAATGCATTTAAGAAAGACATTCATCACAGAAGGGCAGAACCTACTAAGTCAATACCCTATTAACAATGCAAAATTTACATTACCTTTCTCTTTATCATGACCTGGTTGAACCAAGGAATCATTATCCCCCGGGTTATCTCTGGGTCTCATATATGGAGCTAATTCGTGTTGCTTAGGACCTCTGCAAGTTTCTTGCATTTCCCTAAGGCACTTTGGCAAACAAAGCAGGGCTGCTAAAACCAATATTATGAATGACCAAACCACTGTAATTGATATCCAAACTATCCTTTTAGCAGATGGCCTTTTGCTACTATTGGAATTTGATTCCCCGGCAAATGATGGCCCATCAGTCTGATTCCCAGGTCTTCTTTCAGTGATTGGCGGTAACTTTCCTGAAGTCGGAGGCCCAAAAAATGGCAGTGCCGGAGATGGTGTTGTGGATGATGACGATGGAGGAAAAGGAGCACTAATAATACTGCTGAAAGGGTTTCCACCATTTCTGCAGGAATTTTTTTGCTTTTATTTCTTTGTTTAAAGCAAGCAGAGACAGTGTGTGTTTGTTTGTTTTCCAATTCACACAAATATTTGTATTGGTTTACATTAGTTTCAAAGCTTTTCATAATTGTTACGAAGCTTAATTGAAACTCCTTCCTTCTTCGAGGAACTTACCTGAAAACAGGAATATCCAAGAGCTTCTGAGGTATAAGCCCTGAAAACAGGTTATTTTCTATGTTTCTGGAGGGATGCAGGGAAGAATAAGAAAAAAGTTAGATGAATACTGAAATGGTTGTTTAGAAATAAACATGTACCGAAAGAAATATAGTTCAGAAGACTACAAATCTCTGAGGGGAAGATTTTGTAAAACATCAAGGGTTCCAGAAAGCTGATTATTCTGCAAATGGCTGGTGATCAAGAAGTTAGCTTTATGACCAATAATCGATTGAATCAAACTGAAACATCTGAAACTTCAATACTCACAGAGTCATGAGGGATAAATTTCCTAGTGATGATGGCAAAACCCCACTTAAATTGTTATTAGATAAATCTCTGCAAGAATTTAATTTGACCAAATAAGATAGTTTAAAGAAATTGCAATAAAGAATGCTTTTTTAATTATGGCATCATACAGATTGGCCAAATGCACAAGGCCTTGGAAGGAATCGGGAATTTCTCCAGCCAAATTGTTGTCATTCAGAGATCTGAAACACATGCAGAAATAAATTATCTCTTAGCAAAATAACAAATTGTGAAAGGGAACAATTTTCGAGAACAAACTTACATTGCTGATAGTTGACTCACAGAGGACAAAGAATCAGGAATACTTCCAGTAAACTCATTAGCTGAAAGAAAACTGCAACAAGTAAAGATTATTATGTGTTTCCCCGGCAGCTATAACATTAACGCCTTCTTTATCTGTAAATCTTTCCAGTGGAAAATGACAATATATACATACAGGCTCTGCAAAGTAACTGGTAGATTGGATGGTATAGCGCCCCCAATACGGTTGTTACTAAAATCACTGCCATAAAACATTTGATCCTTGTTACTACATGAAACAAAACAGATGCATATACAGAGACAGGGAAACCCACACATAAAGACATTTGTTTTTCACTTACATTGTTTTGATAGAAGAAAATGCTCCTAATTTGTCCCCCAATTCACCTCCCAAATTGGCACTATTAATTGTACTGCAGATCGAGAATATGATGACAACAATTAACATCTTAATTGGTTTAATAAACCCGCAGAATAATGCAGTAATAGAAGGAAGGCTCATACATTGACACTATATTTGTATCCTCACACACAACACCTTGCCATTTTCCATTACACGGGTCCACATCAACGCCCCATCCGGGAAGAGGAGGGGATCCCAAAGCAGCATATAATGTATAAATTGCATCCACTACACCAATTCAAAAAGCTATATCAATACTAAAGATGAATTGAAGAGCATCCTCACATGATTCCAGAAGTTGCAGACCAAGTAGATTGGGCGTTAGGCAATTAAAGCAAAAGGAATCGAGAAGTGGACAACCATTAAGACGACTTACCATCTCCAGGGTTGGCTCCATCAGACAAAATCAGGAGAAACCCCAACAAGATCTTCAAATTCAAACACCAAAATGCCCATCTCTTCCCATCCATTAATCCAAAAACTATCAACTTTTCCCACAATCTACTCTCCTTTGAAGAAAACCATTGCATACACAATGCATAAAACCTCTCCTATCTGCAAAAGCAGCTAAAAAGTACAAATTAACTATCCTACTACAATGTCGGTTTGTCATCAAGTTCCTAACTTTAACAACTTCTTCTACTCCCAATCTCAAATAAAATAAATCAACACTACAACGATACAAATGGGTATCTATCTGTGCATTTATAAGAAGCAAAGACAAAACTTTGAAAGAAAAACAAAAAAAGTGAACCTTAAGCAACCTTAAAAAAAAAAAAAAAACAAAATGCTAATGAATTATGAGCAAATAATGCAGTAAGAAGCATGATTCCAAATAAAGCAGAGATTTTTACAGTGGATGATGAGCAAAAATGTAAGAGCCCAGTTAATAATGCATTTTAGTAGTAAATCTGAAGAGAGCTCTTACAGGGCAATGGCTGGAATCCTGGAGGAGGAAAAGATGAAAAAAGCTATGAAATGTGGAAAGTTGCATTAGAGAATTCTTGTTCTTCCTACTCTCTCTAAAAAAGAACAAACGACAGAGTGCTTGTGAGTGCAAGGCAAATATACATACCTGCTTTAAGTCACTTTGAGGAAGTGGAGTTATAATACCACTCACAGGGGCGGCGCGTGGTGTGTCGCTCTTTACTGATCTTATGTTAGTGGAGGTGGAGCGTGGATATTCGTTGAGCATATGGTGCGTGAGGACTTGAGATTAGTAAAGCGTCGTTGTTACACTTGGACATTTTCATTTTCAGACAATTATGAGACAATAACAGCCTCCAATCTAGGTTTGCAGATTCGTACAAACAACAAACGTGCACTCGATAAATTAAAACGCCAAACACTTGAGTTTTGAAAATTTATCACATTTTAATCTTATGTTGCAAAATGCAATATATTAATAAATTGTCAAATTAATAACGCATTTCTATAAGTCACAAATGTTGGATCTTAAGTTACGAAGAGTTTGGTACAATGCATTAGGCATTTCAAACCGATGCAATGGCAAGGCATAAGCATGTGGCATGCGTAGTAACAAACTTACGTGGAAGTGTAGCAATGGTAGAATATACATATTTATGGTTTTTTTTTTTGAGTTTTTTGCACTTTTGGTCCCACGACTATAGTGGCACTAGCAGAATTGATCCACGACTTTTGAACCTTGCAATTTTAGTCCACGACTATTGATTTTTTTTGCAAAAATGGTCCTTCCGGCCACTTTTCCGTCAAAATTTCACCGGAAAAAAAAATCTTCATTTTTAACAGGGCTAAAATTGACATTTTATTTATCTCAACAAAATATATATATATATATAAGCGATTGCATTTGAGAATCTCCGCCGCTTCTCTCGCCGAAAATCTATACAGCGAAGCTTTTCCGATGTCTTCGAATGATCCGGCAGGCGTGCTGGCTCCGCCTCGAATGCTGCTGCCGGATAACCCAACTAGCCCAGGGAACGCCACGGCCGCTCCACCGCTTACTGACAGCCCTGCCTGCTCTAGGAACTCCGCCGCCTGGGGTTGTAGTATGTAGCCCAGTAATATTGTATGTACTATCTACTATGTAGTCAAATGTCAATTTTTTTCTTCTTTTTTTTTGTTGAGATAAGTAAAATGTCAATTTTAGCCCTGTTAAAAATGGAGAATTTTTTTTCGGTGAAATTTTGACGAAAAAGTGGCCGGAAGGACCATTTTTGCAAAAAAATCAATAGTCGTGGACTAAAATTGCAAGGTTTAAAAGTCGTGGATCAATTCTGCTAGTGCCACTATAGTCGTGGGACCAAAAATACAAAAAACTCGTTTTTTTTTTTCTTCCAACCTTATGAATTGAGATGAAGACAAATGAAAATACAGCATATATGTAACACACTCTATTTTCAATATTGCAAACCATGAACAAATGGGAATACATGTTGGAGGGCAGTAACAATAGTTACATATATGCAACACTAAGCATAACAAATTATTATGTTTTAAGGAGTGATTTATATTTAGAGTAAATACCAGCCAAGGTCCCTCGAGTTTGGTGATTTCACCACCTATAGTCCCTATCTTCTGTAATTACCATCCGTGGTCCTCCGAGTTGCGAAATCTGACCTATTGTCATCCTCCCGTCAGTTTCATCCGTTTGGACAGTTTAAAGTGGGGATAGAATGGTCATTTTCCTTAAAAAAATCATTTTTAGTTTCTTTCGTCTGGCCTTCTTTGATCTCCTTCATTCGTTCCTCATTCCTCTTTAATTTCTCTCTCTCTCAACGTTATCTTCCAGAGTTGGTTCGTGAGCCACTCGAACGCCTGAGTAATGGAGATGTCAAAAGAAAAAATGATGAAAATGCCCAGGCTCTAATAGACGAGAGAAATGGCAGAGATTGGGTGTTCTTGCTAAAAGCAGAACAACTCTCTCCAATTGCAGGGATCCAAATCGGCAAACGAACAGCAGAATTTGGGGAGTTCAAAAGAGAGAAAACCCACTATGGAAGTATGACCACAAAACACCAAAGTTGAGCAGAAGAGAAAAGATTTTAGAGGGAGCTAAAAAGGACAACAGAAAAAGGCAGAAGTTGGTGCTGCTTGGAGTCAAGTGCAATTGAGTTTTGTTGTGACTTCAAGGACCTTGTGTGTGTGCCAAAACACCAAAATTGTTTGATCCCCTGGGTTTACGCGTGACCGGTCGCCACCTGGCCCTGTGAGGATGACTTACAGGCTACAGGAAACAAAAATGTGGCAATGATCTTATCCCATCTACCAAATCTTGACCTGAAATAGAACCAACACATTCATCCATTTGTCTCCAGAGAATGTACTTATGTACCATGTCGTTTTCGTTGCCATGTTTCTATATGATAAACACTAAAACTGAAACTTTAAGGCAGACAGATCTCATAGGTCCAACTAATTTCAATAGCTTCCATGGACTAATAATAAAACTCGGTGTGCCCGGATTCCGAAGCGGCGGCGGCAGCGCTGTGGCCGGAAAATGGGTTTCGAAAGACAAGTACAGAAACAGTTGAGGCGGTCGCCGGAGGAGAAGATGGTGGAGAGGGACTTGGAAGTAGCGGTAATAGCAGTAAGGTTGAACCGTTAGCCTTGGACTGAATTAATCTCTACAAGCTAGATAACGTTGATAGAGAGAGAGAGAGAGATTAAAGAAGAATGGGGATGAATGAAGGAGAAGAAGGCCCAGATGGGAGAAATTAAAAATGAAATATTTAAGGCAAATGACAATTTTATGCTTACTTTAAACGGCTCATATGGAAGAAACTAACGGAAGGATGACAGATGGTCAGATTTTGCAATTCGGAGGACCATGGATGATAATTACGGAAGTTAGGGACTATAAGTGGTGAAACCACCAAACTCGAGGGACCTTGGCCGGTATTTACTCTTTATATTTATTATAAATCATGACACAACATGTATATACATACTATCTATAAACAAAACTCATATGTATATATGCCAATTATTGTATATTTTTTTTGAAAAATATATGGGTGTTTCATTAAAAAAATGCTGATAAAATGTCTGGTGGGTGGCTATCCCAATACATAGCAATATTCTGCTGATAAGCCGTAGTAGCTAATGCATGAGCTAAATAATTGTCTGATCTAGGAATAAATTTAAATAAACAATACTGAAATAAAGTGGCAATTTGCCTGCAGTCATTAATAGCATAGCCCACATAGGAGCGAATCGTAGTAGTCGGTGTTGCAAGATAGCATTGCAATGTCAAACAATCCGTGTATAACTCAATATTCTGCTCCCCTCTCCCCTTCAACCATGATAAAGCCTCTTTGCATGCCAAGGCTTCGGCCATAAGTGGTGTCAAACAAGTTGACAATGGTGCATTGAAGGCCGATATATATTCTCCGTTTGCATCGAACAAAACCGCCCCTACGGTGGCCCTTCCCGTGTCGTGTGAATACCCTGCGTCGACCCGACACCTTCTCAAACTCGGCATTCCATTCTCGGCAGCGCCATGGACAGCCTCGGCAGCGTCGGTCCCGGTACTGGCGGGCAGTGGTGCTGGTTGGCGAATCGGGCGTGTCATAAGCCATGCATCCTTGGCGGACATAGCGGCTCGGAGTATGGAGCGTGGCCGTGGCAGACATGCCTCCCACACCGCTCGATTCCGCGCTCTCCAAATGTTGTATAGAATTGATGCTGCATATAACATTCCATCAGAATCTAAAACATTTTGAAGTTCCTCAAACCAAACATGAAAAATATTCGTGACAATGTTGGGGATTGGAAGGTTTGATTGTTCCCAAATGTTTCTTGCATAGTCACACAAGACTAAAGCATGCATTGTATCTTCTTGTGATATCCCACACATGGCACAATAAGGGCTCACATCCACCCTCTTTATAAGCAAGTTTGTAGTAGTGGGTAATATATCACAAATGGCTCTCCAAAGGAACATTCTCCATTTTGGGGGTACTTTGAGTTGCCATAGAGATAGCCAATTCATAAACTCGCCACTTTGGCTCTCGTAGTCTCCCACTATCCGCCTGTATCCACTCTTCACAGAATATAGTCCTTTTGGGTCCCCATGCCAATACCATGTATCATTGTAGTCCAGGGAGACAGGTATTCTCATAATTCTTCCCACATCAGGTTGGAATAAATCTGTTAGAATGTCATTGTCCCATGTTCCTGTTTGTTGATCTATTAACCCCCTTACTCTTGATCCTTGTAATTGTACTGGCATTTCCGTTCGTATCATAGGGCCGTCCTCATCTTGTAGCCAAGGGTGGGTCCATATAAAAGTTGTTTCCCCATTTCCGATTCTTCGCCTGACCCCACTACAAATTATACTCTTTGCTGCCATAATACTCCGCCAACAGAAACTGGGGTTATTTCCTACCTGTGCATCAAAAAACGTTCCTTTTGGAAAATACCGGGCTTTATAGACACGAGCCACTAAAGAGTCAGGTTTAGTGAGCATTCGCCACGCCTGCTTTCCCAACATTGCCAGATTAAATGCACGTAAATCCTTAAATCCCAATCCCCCATATTTCTTTGGGACACAAAGTTTATCCCAAGCCTTCCAGTGTATTCGTCTATCACCTCCCGAGTCCCACCAATACCTATTCATGGTCCTCTCAATTGCCGTACATACTGATAGTGGTAGTAGAAAGACACTCATTGAGAAGGTAGGCATGGATTGTGCTACACTTTTCAATAATATCTCTTTCCCTGCTTGGGATAGTAATCTTTTATTCCAAAACCCAATCCTTTGGCGTATTTTATCTTCAATATAAGCAAAGGCTGCCTTCTTATTCCTTCCAACAAACGAGGGTAGTCCCAGATATTTGCCAAAATTCGGGGCCTGTGTCACTCCCAAAACCTGAGCCACATTATCCCTGTCAATAATTCCTGTATTTCTGCTATAGCAAATATTTGACTTGTGGTAGTTAACCACCTGTCCAGATAGGTTCTCATATGCTGTCAGACATCTCTTAATCTCATTTGCCTCCTCCTCCTTAGCTTTGAAAAATAATAGGCTGTCATCCGCAAAAAATAAATGAGAGACTTGGGGGGGCACCTCTCGCCACTCTACATCCATGAATCAGCCCTTCCCTGTTAGCCTGTTGCAACATAAGTGAAAGTCCCTCCGCACAGATAATAAATAAATATGGGGATAACGGATCTCCCTGTCTCAGTCCACGGGTAGGTATAATTGGATCACTTCTAGAGCCATTCACCAGGATACTATAGGAAACCGTAGTCACACATTTCATAACCAAGTCCACCCAGTTCCTATGAAAACCCAACGCCATCATCATGTTACGAAGATAGGGCCACTCCATCCGGTCATAAGCTTTTGCCATGTCTAGCTTAAGTGCACCCCATCCCCCTAATCCACACTGTTTTCTGTTCAAAAAATGGCCTACCTCCGCTGCTAGCAAAATATTATCCGTTATCAACCTATCCGGAATGAAAGCACTCTGTGACTCAGATATTATATCATCCATCAATGGTTTCATTCTATTAGTCATTATCTTCGCAATAATTCTGTAGACCACATTACTAAGAGCAATTGGACGTAGATCAATTACCATCTCCGGGTTATTCTTCTTTGGAATCAGCACAATATCCGTATTATTTAAGCCAGGCGGAAGTTCACACGTTTCAACACAATTAATCACGAAGCTCGCCACATCCCCTCCCACTACATCCCAAAAGTGCTGATAAAACCCCGGGTTCATTCCATCCGGGCCCGGAGCCTTATCAGGATACATCGCAAACAATGCATCTTTCACCTCCTCCACCGTAAAAGGTTGTAATAGAGAGTCATTCTGTGCCTGTGATACCCGTTTCTCTACCTTCCCAAAAAACTCCTCCCCTGTCCCCGGAGTCCCAGAAGTGAAAATATTGTTGAAATAATCCAGAATATTTTTTCTCATAAGTTCCCCTTCCAACCAATCCCCATTATCATTCATTATCTTAAATATAGTATTCTTTTTCTTACGATGCGAGGCATACCTGTGAAAGAATTTCGTGTTGGAGTCCGCCTCCTTGAGCCAGTGCTGCTTGGCTCTCTGCCTCCAGTATGCATCCTCCTGGGCTTCCGTTCTGCTTAAAAGTCTCTCAATATGCTGGAATTCAGCAAGTGAAGTCGCATCAGTACGACCCCTCAACCGTTCCTGATCCTTTTTCAGCATTAGAATCTGTCTCCCATACTTATGGAACCGATCCCCACCCCAGCGTGTTAACCGGTTTCCACAGTACTGAATACATTCTTGCAACCCCTGCCCTCTTCCCTCGTCCCATGCTTGCTCCACTACTCCCCTACATCCCTCATCGTACAACCAGGCCATCTCAAACCGAAATCCCCTCCTTCTTGCTCCATTCACCCGTACTCCCTCATTAATTCCACAGAAAATAGCAGAATGATCCGACTTCCTGGTTCTCAGGTTCGTAACTTTAGCATGGGGAACCACGTTACGCCACCCATCCGTCACCAGAACCTTGTCTAGTCTCTCCTCAATCCAATTCACAGTTCCCTTCCCCTTCTCCCAGGTATATGGATACCCCACCATCGGTAGTTGCGCTAGGCCACAATCCTCCAATGTGTCTCCAAAACCCCGTAAAAGGCTATTTGGATGCGGATTTCCTCCCATCTTCTCGTACTGATATAATAAGTCATTAAAATCCCCCATCACGATCCAATGGAGATCCGATTTTGCCGCAAGGGTCCTCAACAAGTTCCAAGACTCGGCACGACGGCTACGTTCTGAGAAGCCATAATAACACGTCATCCTCCAGCGCGGATAACCTGCCATAGTGACCTCAATATCAACATAGTTCTTCGCATAACTCAGTAATCTTGCCGTATTATTCTTTCTCCACAATAACGCTAATCCTCCACTTAAGCCATCGTTATCAACATAGAACAAACCCTCAAACCCCATCGTAACACGAAGTCACTCTGCATGATCTCTTGCTACTTTAGTCTCCATCAGAAATACAAAGTCGGGTTGCTTACGGGACACCATGTCCACCACCTCACGAACTGTCCGTGGATTACCCAAGCCACGGCAGTTCCAACTCAGCGTACTCATTGGCTCGGGCGGGTTTGTGATCCAGAACCCGCCGAAAACAAGTTTTTTGAGCCATCTAGCATCGTCACATCAGTACTACTTCCCTCCTGCTCCCGACGGCGCTTAGCCACCACGGCCGCCACCTCCTCACTCTCCCTCCTCTCTGCCTCCTCTCTCGGGTCCACCTCCACCGTCGGACGCCGTGCCGGATATCCCGACGCCGGTAATGGCTTCGGCTTACCGCCGAACGGAATCAACCACGGCCCACCAACCTCACGTGGCCCCTTAGTCCCCCCTACCCTCAAATCCGCAGAGTACGGATATTGTCCCACCGGTATCCTTGCTTCCCTTGCTTTCAAACAGAACTTATACGAATGCCCTAGCATTCCACAACAAAAGCAAAAAGTGTGCATCCTCTCATACTTAAAATTGACCCAACACGTTGTCTTGTCACGTTTCAACAATTTCATCCTTCGTTTAATCGGTCTATCCACAGGGATTGAAACCCTAATTCGAAAATATGTTAACCATGGAGCCCCAATAAACCTATCATCCAACTTCACAAAAGTTCCAATAAAATTTCCAATCTGTTCAAGAATCTGAACCCCCGTGTATCCCAGTGGGAGATCATGCACCTGTACCCAGAGATCAATCGTGTTTAGCTCCACATCAACCGGTAACACCCCATCCGGAACTCTTTTGCAAACAAGTGAATGATTATTGAATGACCACGGACCTCATCCAACACATACTCCACGTCAGTCTCATGGTAGAAAATAAAGAGAAACAAGTTCGGTTGAATTTCCGTAACCTGCATCCCCCTTACCGGTTGCCAAACAGAAGCCATCACATGTCGCATGTATTCCACTTTTATGATCTTCGTAGTTAGGAACCTGCCTACCATCCCCCACGACTGCTCCGTCTCTGCCGGTCCTCCACCATCCGCCGCACCAGCCAGGGCGAACACAGCATCCTCCTCGTCGTCGAGGGCGATGTCTGCCCAGCTTCGCGTTATGGCCTCCACATCACCTTCGCCCATCGCTGCCATCTGCCGTAACCAAGAAAACGAGGCGCAAAATCGGTAGCCACCGATCAGAATAGCCAAGAAAGCCGATCAACAAGCCTAGAAAACCCTAGTGGAGGAGAAAAGCTCTAGAAACCCTAGAGAGCGTAACTTTACTTTTTTTATTGTATATGATTGAGCCAACTTTTTTTTTTTTTTTTTTTTGTGCAAATTTACTTATAACTTGTGGAGAAATAAAAAACATACTTCACAAATAAAGAGTACCTCAAATCTCAGTATAATAAAGCATGCATATTAGGGTGGTCCTACCATTTTATAAGTTTGGGGACCTAATCTTAAAAGAAATTATCTTACTTAGAGATTAATATGTATTTTCATATTTAAAACAATATTAATATAGAATATAATCAAATAAAATAAAATGTATAAGTTGTTTATAATTTTTAATACACATAATACTAATTATAAAAAAAAATAAAAATTATAGCTGTTTTCTTTAAAATAAATTATAATTACATCAGTACATTTATAAATAAATAATTATAGTTTTTAAAAATGATTTAAGATCAAATAACCTTATAGACAATCTCATTGTAAAATATTTATAACAAAAAATATATAGTACTTTTTTGCCTGGTCGTTTGATTACAGATAATGTACTTGTGGCATCCGAAGTGATACATTACCTAAATCGAAAGAGGGAAGGAAGGGAAGGATGGTGTGCATTGAAGTTGGATATTGCCAAAGCCTACGATAAAATGGAATGGGCTTTTCTGAATGAAATGATGAGGCGTATGGGTTTTCACCAGCGATGGATTAATATTGTCATGCGGTGTGTAACAACAGTTCGTTATAGGGTTGGAGTCAACGGGGATCTCACAGACTTTATAACTCCTACTTGTGGCCTTCGACAAGGTGATCCTTTATCCCCTTATCTTTTCATTCTTTGTGCAGAAGGTTTATCACACCTAATCTCTATGGCTATTCAGAAGAAAGACATTTCACCATGTATTGTGGCTAGAGGTGCTCCCGGTGTCTCTCATTTGTTCTTCGCAGATGACAGTCTCCTATTACGGGTTGTAACCCTCCAAGTGCTGATGGAGATTTCTATTATTGGCTGGCAGGGAAGTTGGCAATAAATGGAAGGCAGTCCACGCTGAAGTGCATAGCATTGTGTTGGTCAATATGGCTTATGCGTAATGACATTGTATGGAATCAAAAGTGTTGGCAGCATGAGAAGATTTTGCTTGAAGTGCAGCGGATGGTCTGTGAATAGAATGCTTTATCCACGGCTTCAGTAAACAATGTTCAAGCCCATTCTCCGGAAATAAATCAGATAAATATTCCCGAAGGTACGGTGTCTGTATCTGTTGATGCTGCAGTTTTTCCAGATACTCAACAAGCAACCTTTGGAATTGTTATTCAGGATCGGCATGGTGTTTTCCTTGGTGCAAAAAATGGTCTGATTAAAAGTTTGAATGACGCTCATTTGGCGGAAGCTATGGCCATTAAAGAAGCTTTGACATGGGTTAAGGAGCGTGGTTACTCGAAGAGCATAATATTTTCAGATTGTCAGCAAGTGTGTAATTTGCTTACGGGCTCGTTACAGGATTTATCGTTTGCAGGTTGCATCATTAACGAATGCCGAAAGCTCCAACGACACCACGAAAGTGTGTCTATTAAGTTCATTTCAAGATCAGTGAATAAAGCCGCTCATGTTTTGGCAAGGGCAGCTCGTTCGAACTCTGATGATTTAATTTGGCTTGATTCTATTCCATTATGTATTGAACATTTGCTTTAATGATTAAAGTCCTTTGGTTTTCAAAAAAAAATATATATGAAACATAATTAATTGAATAAATTGTGTCACTTTTGCACACATTCGATAAAAATAAATAATAGCATGACCAAGACTATGTGGTCTAATGGTACCCGGGTTGGACTTCCATTTGGAAGGTTACGAATTCGAGCCTTAGTGAAGGCATTATTGATTTTTTGTGTTTCAGTAGGTTGGGAAAGTGTAGTTAGTTCTATGGGCAAATTTGACATGATCCCGAGTGCCTAAAAATGATAAATTCTAAAACAACTCATAAATCATAGGTGACCGCAATTCAATTTAACTAAAGTTTCAAAATGGAACTATATATATATATACTATGTGTGAATTTGTCAGAAACTATAACAATACAAAATGTTAAGGTTAAGGTTTACACCGAATGGACAATGGTTAAGGTTAACGTTTTTTGTTTTGGCAAATCATGAACCATTAATTATAGATCGAACCATACGATAATTACAAACTTTTATATTAACAAATAATAATAACAATAAATAAGGAAATAAATGCTGGCCCATTTTCTTTAAAAATAATAGATAATACTTTTTAAATTAACGCTTACAATCTTACATACAAATTTTAAAAATATAAAATTGAACATGTTCATTTTATTTTAAATTAAAATTCAAATAATTAATTTTATTTATTTTTTAATTTCAACCTTTTGTATTTCCAACCCGGGTCTCCGACCTTCTTCATATTCAACTTTCTGCCAGGCTGCCACTTAATTCCTTATTCAAATAATCCGTTTTCAGCAATCATCCCATCGTGCTCCGTCCCTGGATTTATTTGTTGTTATGTGATTGATCGAGTTTGGAGCTTTTCATTTTCTACAATGAAGAGGTTAATTGATTTTGGGAGAAAAGCTTTGTTCTACGTTAGGGTTCTGTCGGGCTATGAAGAGCGAAGAATCCGGTCTTATCGCCTACAGATTCAGCAGCGTCTTCAGCAGGTCCCATTTCATTCACTCTCGTTTTCCTTTATTATTCCCGCAAGCACTATGTGAATATTCGGTGAAGTTTTGCTAACTACGATTTGCTAGGTCTTCATGAATTGCTGTTCTGAATTACTTTGAGATATAGTTTGGATTTGTTATACTAAACTGGTTTAGGTTTTCGAAACAGTTTTTGCTCAAACTTTCGTTATTATAATTGCACTATTGGTTATGTTTCTTGTTCTTTCATGTTTAAGTAGAAAAGTTTGAGCTCAACTTGGCTGAAAAGAATATCTGATTGGAACAATCAAAACTAAAAAGATACTGCATTGTATTGGAATCCGGTTTGTGATAGTTAATGCACACCAGACTCCTTGGCAATCAATTATATATATATATATTGTAATGATCTCAGCAAATGGCCAGGAGAAATAAGAGCAAACGACGTCGCTTGACGTCGTTGCGGTTAGAAGACGGTTACAAAGAGCAGAAAACGTCGTCGTTCCAATAAGTGACCGGTTAAGTAAATAAAGACCGAAACGGTGTCGTTTAAAGCATTGTAATAGCGGTTAGAACAGTTATAAAAGGGGTTAGCTGGCAGTGTATGTGGCATTCACCAAACTGTAATGAAATCAATTTTCTTCTTTCTCTTCAACTTTCTCTCTCTCTCTCTCTCTCTCTACTTCGAAACCCTAGGATCGTGACATCTGGTATCAGAGCCCAATGGAGGCGAGACTGAAACAACTAGAGATAGTTGTGGCTGATCTGAGTGAACAAATGGATACTCATAAGCAGACCACCGCTGAGCTAATGGAAAGATTAGTAGCTCAGATGGAAGGCAAGATGAATGAGTGGAAGATTGAGATAGCAGAAACTATTCGGCTCAACCGACCACCACCACCATTGATGACCACGATCCCTGGTGGATCATCAGTGAATGGAGTCAGAAACGAACTGCCAGCCTCATCTCATCAAGGCCAACATCCACCTGTACAGAGGCCAGGAAAAGGACCAGCAATGCAGACAGCTGGCACAGGGGATTCGGATAGTGAGGTGGAACTGGAAGGATTTGGTACAAATTGGTCAGGGAGGGAGATCCGAACTCAGATTCCACAAAGACGAGCCATGGACTCTCCATTCATGAGGTATCGCTATGATTTTCCACCATTTGATTATGAACAACCTAAGTTGTGGATCAGTAGATGTGAATGATTTTTGCAAATGTCTCATATTTCCCGGATTGAAGTCATGCATGTGTTATATGTGAACTTAACTGGAAAAATAGGCCTGTGGTTTGAAGGTTACCTCACTGGTTTGGATGAACCATTCCAATGGTCACATTTTGCTGAGGCAGTTTGTAAACGATTTGGTGATGATAGTGGAATAGTGATGCAGGAGTTCACCAATTTCAGACAGAATGGAGGAGTTATGGAGTTCAATGATAAGTTTGAGGAATTTAAGAGCCTCCTGATTCAGAAACACCCCACCCTCAATGATCTCTATTTCCTAGAAGCATACATAGCCAGGCTTAAACCAAATCTGAGAGGCTTTGTGAGAACTACTCAGCCTAAGACACTAGCAGATGCAATGTGGAATGCTAGACAGTTGGAAAGAGGGTTTAAGTCTAATGAACCACCAAAAAACACACACCAATTCCAAAACAGGAACACCTTAAGCCAACCATACCCCACCATTCCTAGAACACACAGTAAACCACCTAACCAAAAGCCTACCAACTCCCAAGGATCTACAGCCTCCAACACTATGAGTAGCATTGCAAAAGGACCTGAGAGTGTTAAGATCAGATCTCAACTTAGAGAGCAGAATAAGTGCTTTAAGTGCTTTGAGCCATGGCAACCAGGGCACAAGTGTAAGGGAAATACCTTCCATGCTGTTGAGGAAGGGGAATTTCAGGATGCATCTGATGGGATCAGTACTGAGGAACTGGAGGGAACTGAGACTAAGGAACAAGTTGAGATCTCCCTATGTGCTGTGATAGGTGGGGAGGGATTGAATACCATCAAGTTGATGGGAACAGTGCAGAGACATCCAGTAGTGATACTAGTGGATAGTGGAAGCACTCATAGCTTCTTAGATCCCAAGATTCTCACACAACTAAGAAGAGAGCCAGAAAAAGCCCAAACACTGAGAGTAACTGTTGCTAATGGAGAACAGATCAGTTGTGATGCCATTTGTAGAAGGCTGAGGTGGCAGATCCAAGGAGAACCCTTTGAAAAGGACTTCAGGTTGCTGAGGTTAGGGGGATGTGACATGGTCCTTGGTATGGATTGGATAGACCAGTATGCCCCTATCCAACTCCATACAAGGCCCCCTGGTATTTCATTCATTAAAGAAGGACAACAAGTAACATTAAGGGGGTTGACTAGGAAGGCTGTTAAGTTGCAGGAGGTGTCCAAGAGGGACTTGAAGAAGTGGCAGCAGTATGGGATCCAAGGGTTCTTGGTGCAATGTGAAGGAGTAAGTCAGAGAAGAGGGAATAATGAATACAGTGTATGCTGCAAGGTGGTAGTGCAAACTGAATACAAAGAGCTAGCTGAATTAATTCAGCAGTTCCAGGAGTTATTTGAAGAACCAAAGGACCTGCCTCCCAGAAGGTTATATGACCACTCCATTCCTTTATTGCCAGGGGCACAACCTGTAAATATCAAACCATACAGGTATTCCTTTGATCAGAAAAATGTTATAGAAGAGATGGTTGAAGAAATGTTAAAGACTGGGGTCATCTCTGAGAGTGTATCCCCTTTTGCATCACCTGTATTGCTAGTGCCTAAAAAAGACAACACCTGGAGGTTTTATTGATTATAGGGCTTTGAATAACATCACTGTTAAAAACAAATTTCCAATTCCAGTAGTGGAGGACCTTTTTTCTGAGCTTGCTGGATCAAGGTATTTCACCAAATTGGATCTAAGGGCAGGCTACCATCAAGTAAGGATGAGAGAAGGGGAGGAGTATAAAACTGCATTCAAAACACATCAAGGCCTATATGAATTTAGAGTTATGCCATTTGGCTTAACTAATGCTCCTGCAACCTTCCAAGCACTGATGAATCATGTGTTCAAGCCCCTGAGAAAGTTTGTTTTGGTATTTTTTGATGATATATTGATCTACAGCCCTGAACTGAGTGTGCATTGGGAACACCTCAAGGCAGTTCTAGAATTGATGAAGGAACACAAGCTGTTGGCCAAGCTGAGTAAATGTGCTTTTGCAATGAGAGAAGTTGAGTATCTAGGCCATATAATATCTGAGCAAGGGTTGCATACTGATCCTTCAAAGTTGCAAGCAGTAGCAGAATGGCCTAAACCTACAACTATCAAGAGTTTGAGAGGATTCTTAGGCCTGACTGGATACTATAGGAGATTTATCAAGAGCTATGGAATGATTAGCAGGCCATTGACAAAAATGCTGAAAAAGAATGCATTTCAGTGGACTGAAGAGGCTGAGATTGCTTTTGAAAGCTTGAAAAAGGCCCTATGCTCAGCTCCAGTCTTGGCCCTTCCTGATTTCCAGAAAACTTTTATAGTTGAAGCAGATGCTTGCCATAAGGGAATGGGAGCAGTGTTAATCCAAGAGGGAAGACCTATTGCTTATTTCAGCAAAGCCTTTGGAGATAAGCACCTAGGTTTATCCATATATGAAAAGGAATACATGGCCATCATCAATGCAGTGGAGAAATGGAGAGCTTATCTAGTAGGGAGGAAATTCATTATTCAAACTGATCACCACAGTTTGAAGTTCTTATTGGATCAGAAAATCACCACTGCTACACAACAGAGAGGCTTGTCCAAACTTTTGGGGTTGCATTATACAATACAATACAAAAGGGGCAGTGACAATGGGGCTGCTGATGCACTCTCCAGAAGGGAAATGAATCAGGAGCCTGAAATAAGTAATTCTGAGTTCCATACTGTACTGGCTATCAGACCACAATGGATTGAAGAGGTGCTTCACAGTTATGAGGGGGATGGATGGGCTCAAGAGCAACTGACAGTCAATCTGATTACACCTGGGGTTGATCCCAACATTGCTATAGCTGAAGGGCTCATCAGGTACAAACAAAGGATTTATGTGGGAGAAAAGGGTGACTTGAGAAACAGACTAATCCTACAAATGCATGACTCTCCATTGGGGGGACATTCAGGGCAACAAGGGACTTACCAAAGGCTCAGATCATTATTTTATTGGCAGAAAATGAAATTGGATGTTAAATCAGTAGTGGAAAGATGTGATGTATGTCAAAGATGTAAGTCTGAAAATGTTGCAACCCCTGGACTCCTGCAGCCTCTGGCCATCCCTGATCAAGCTTGGAGGGGAATCTCAATGGATTTCATTGAGGGATTGCCAAAATCCCAAGGAAAGGAAGTGATTCTTGTGGTGGTGGATAGACTCACCAAGTATAGTCATTTCATGGGCTTAGTACATCCATACTCTGCTGAGAGTATGGCCAACATTTTTATGGAAAACATCTACAAGTTACATGGATTACCAAGGGACATTGTAACTGACAGAGATAGAGTGTTCCTTAGCAGATTTTGGCAGGCTCTCTTCAAACAGCTGCAAGTCCAATTGAGCATGTCTACTGCCTATCACCCACAATCAGATGGCCAAACTGAGAGGGTCAACAGGTGTTTGGAGACCTATTTAAGGTGCATGGTGTTCAGCAAACCAAAGGTTTGGGCCCAGTGGCTGCATCTAGCAGAGTATTGGTATAACACCAACTTCCACACATCCTTACAGTGCACTCCCTTCCAAGCCCTCTATGGGTATGCACCACCTATGTTAGCTCTGGAAATAGGGCAGAAGAGAGAGGAAGGAAGCTGGTTGGAAAAGAGAGAGACTATGTTGACAATATTGAAGGAGAATCTGAGGATAGCTCAGCATAGAATGAAGCAGCAGGCTGACAGAAAAAAGGAGTGAAAGAACCTTGCAAGTTGGGGATTGGGTGTACTTAAAGGTCCAACCCTACAAGCAACTCACAGTGGCAGTAAGGTCTAACATCAAACTCTCATCTAAATACTATGGCCCTTACCAGGTTATAGCAAAAGTAGGTCCTGTGGCCTACAGATTAGCACTACCTCCAGGAGCTCAAGTCCACCCTGTCTTCCACATTTCTCTACTGAAAAAGAAGGTGGGGGATCATGTGACACCACAATTGGAACCACCCTTGGTGGGGGAAGAAGGGGAGTTATTGGCTCAGCCCTTGGCAGCATTGAATAAAAGATTGGTGAAGAGGGACAACAAGGCTGTCACACAGATTTTAGTCCACTGGGCAAATTTGCCAGAAGAGGCTGCCACCTGGGAGGATTTCCACCACATCAAAAAACAATTTCCTGATTTCGATCCTTGGGGTCAAGGATCCAGTAAAGGAGGGGATGATGTAATGATCTCAGCAAATGGCCAGGAGAAATAAAAGCAAACGACGTCGCTTGACGTCGTTGCGGTTAGAAGACGGTTACAAAGAGCAGAAAACGTCGTCGTTCCAATAAGTGACCGGTTAAGTAAATAAAGACCGAAACGGTGTCGTTTAAAGCATTGTAATAGCGGTTAGAACAGTTATAAAAGGGGTTAGCGGGCAGTGTATGTGGCATTCACCAAACTGTAATGAAATCAATTTTCTTCTTCTCTTCAACTTTCTCTCTCTCTCTCTACTTCGAAACCCTAGGATCGTGACATATATATATATATATATATATATATATATATATATATATATATATATATATATATATATATATATATATATATATATATATATATATATATATATATATATAGAGAGAGAGAGAGAGAGAGAGAGAGAGAGAGATTAATGATCAAATTAGAACCACCCCTTAGGTGAGAACGTAAGAAACAACATGAATGCAAACAATCTACTACATTATTGCACACAATCTACTCCAGGGTACATTGTGTATCTGGAATATTAGATTGTGTGCATTCATGTAGTAGTTCGTTCTCACCTAAGGGGTGATTCTCACTTGAATGCAAGCCTATGTATATATATATATATGTGTGTATGTGTGTGGAATACATTTTGGTTTAGATATCAAAAAGATCTTAAGTGTTCCAACACATTTTCTCAATGGAAAGACTTGATGGCTAATTCGATGCTGATAGAAAATACACTTCTAGTGGATTTTATTAATTGCATGTTTTAACAGTACACATTCTGACATATTTCGTTCTTTCCTCCCCCTTTGGTGGTATTTGATAACATTGTCAAAAAATTTTGCTAAATTATTGACATATTATTTAGTGTTTCTTTGCCTGTATTCTCATTATGTGTTTGTTGGTGTCAGGCAGAAGAGCGGAAGGCAGCAATAAAGAAAGTGCCAGAACAGATAATTTTAACGGAGGTTCGTAACATGGTGGAAGAGATGCAAGCTCTGAATAAGAAGCTAGAAGACACTGTGAGTTCCAACTTTTCCTTTATTATTTGTTAGTAGTTATTCTAAAGACTTTTATTAGGATTCTAGTATTAGAAGAATACACTTTGCAGCTGTAAGGCTCCAACTTTACCTTGATGGTTAGCTAACAATGACCTTAAACAATCTGTGATGTCTGTGGGCTCTTCACTTTCATTATATTAATTTGGATGCCTTGCAGAATGCCAATAGAACTTTTCCAGACATTTGTAACTTGTGGTCTGTTACCAGTTCTTCCTCCTGAGTTGAGACTAATCATTCAGCTAGATGCTTCCTTTTTTTTTTTTTGGATGACGAGGGAAACCCCACAACCCTTTCGAGTGTGAGTAAACCCCGCCTTGTGACCCTAGCCGGGAAAGGACCACAAGTAAACTAGCCTAGCCGCCTAGGTTACCCATAGCTGACCGGCTCAAACCAAGGGGGCAAGGATTCCAACTCGTGACCTTGTGGTTACAAGCGTGGATCTCTTGCCATCTTGGTTGGGGTTACCCCCGAGCTAGATGCTTCCTTGATATGGAGAAAGCTTGTAGCAAACAAGGAATATATCATTCATGTGAAACATGGCCTTGACTTATTAAAGGAGACAAGAATGGATGCTAACCTGCAAGAACTCCTTTGGAAAGGAATTGGAAGCACAATGTCACCAAGAATGATCTTCTAGTAGATTGGGAACAATTCCAGTGGTTAATAGGACACTCAATATATTTTATACTTACCTAACCTGAAATTTCCTTCAGTGTGAGTGTGATAAATCAATTCATGCATTTTCCCGCCATTTAGAGGTAGCTAATTCATGTGCCAAAATATGTTTAGGCAATTCTAGATAAGGAAAACTGCAATACTGTCATTGCATCCATCATCACTACCGAGGAAAAGGGAATAAAAAAGAAATTGAAATGAGGATCTAGCCCAATCGGAGAGGAGCTTTGGGAAGAGAGAAATGGTCCCAAAAAAAAAAGATGAAGAGATGAAACAGTTTTGGAGAGAGAGAGAACAGCTAAAGATCAGGAATTGAGATTTTAGGCCCAAAGGGAGTTTTGTGGTTGGTTCTGCGAGGGTAGATACTAGATAGGTGAGTAAAGTGTAAGATCTACTAGTTCAATGTCAATCATCGATGTGTATTGTTTTCTGAGCATGCTAAAAAGTTGAGCCAATTTTCTACTTGACTCAGCTTGTTTATTTGGGAATGTGATGAAAGATATCAATTTTGCTCAACTGAATGTAACTTTAAGGAGCTTGAACTTCAACGAAGTGATCAAACTGTATTTTAAGTCAATCTGTTGAATATTAGGAAACCTTTATTGAATATTAGGAATCTCCTAGTAGGGTGGACTTAGTTTTCTATTCCTATTAGGATTAGTGGAACCCTGACTTTTCTCCTGTATGAGTATGACAGACCTTTATTAGGGTGTTAGGCAGAGCTAGGTGAAATTTTTGGTTTTACTCGGGTCAGCTCTTTCTTCCTGTTACTGGTCAAGTCATGAGCCTTGGTGACTGAGCAAATTGATTATTATGTACAGGAGAGTGCAATCAATGAATATTTCAAGCCAATTGAAAAGGAAGCAGAAGTTGTAATGCAGATGCAGCTTGAAAGAGAGGCAACGACAATGACAGATGTGATGACAGAAATGCACAGACAGGCTTTGCTCGAACAAGTTGAGGCAGAGAAAAAAATGGCCATGCAAAAGCTGGAGAAGAACAAGCAGTTGCAAGAGAGCGCACCCGGGACCACTTCTCAACCAGAAAGATGACAACTTTGTTGTCGTTAATGTTTTTAAGTCATTCTGAAGCAGACAGTAAAAGTGAGCATTCAAGCAGCTCTTCTATAAACCATTATGTAGTTACATTTGGTATGATTTTTCATTTTTGTAAGAAAAATAGAAAACTTCATGTCCCTTCAATAAGCATTTTTGGTTGTTCTAAACCTTTCATCTTCTATGAAACACTGTTAAACATTCCCTTCCACATTCCAGTATGGTAGCCAAGGATTTGTTTAGTCATCAAACTTGAGTAATTCACGAATATCTTGATTTGTTTACACACCGGGTTAGATTTTAAAAACGATTTAAAATCAAATAACTTTATAGACAATCTCATTATAAAATATGTATAACAAAACATATATGAAACATAATTAACTGAATAAATTGTGTCACTCTTACACACATTCGATAAAAGTAAATAATAGCATGAGCAACTGTTGCCTAAAAATGATAAATTCTAAAACAACTAATAAAGCATAAGAGAGTGCAATTCAATTTAACTAAAGCTTCAAAACCATACGATTTATGATTACGCACTTTTATATTAAAATAATAATAATAATAATAACAATAAATAAGAAAATAAGTGCTGGCCCCTTTCTTTAAAAATAATATATAGTACTTTTAAAATTAACGCTTACATACAAATTTTAAAAATATAAAATTGAACATGTTCATTTAATTTATTTGAAATTAAAATTCAAATAAATAATTATTAACCTTTTGTATTTCCAACCCTGGGTCTCCGCCCTTGTTCATATTCAACTTTCTGCCACATAACCCTTTAATTCCTTATTCAAATAATAATCCGTTTTGAGCAATCATCCCATTCTGTTGCACCTCCTCGCCTCCGCGCATTGCGGCACCTCGCAAGATCGTTGAGCCAGCAACCAGTACCCAAACCATCTTCCGTCTTCGTCTCGGTCAGCAGCTACACCGGCGACGATTGTCGATTTCTTCTCCGCCCGCTCTTTCACCGTCGTTCGCCAACAACGTGCAGCTGCTCAGGTTCCTCTTCAACCTTCTTCCCTTAACTACTTATCCCTAATTTCATACATCATAAATCCTGTTTCTATCACATTTTCTTATTATATTTATCAAAACCACATTTATTTTGAATACATTTTCTGTAATTGTAATTATAAATAATATATTGTGAATGTAATGGAAAACGATAGCTATCATATGTTGAAAAGCTCTTGATCCACTATTGTGATTCAGCGGGAATTGTTTTTGCAAAGTGAATTTGGTTTTCTCTGATTGGATGGATGCATTGCCTGTTTAATCTTTTAACGTTTTGTTTAAATTCTGTAAAATGCATCTTACCTGTCTGATTTCCTGTGATAGCATCTTTAAAAACTTCTGTCAAATTATAATTGTCATCTCCATTTCATCTTAACCTGTATCTCTAATTACTGTGTTTCAACCAATGACTTTATCATATACCTTTCCAGTTATTTTTTGCATTACATAGACAAATGATAGCCTAATGGTGGAAATATGCCTTTCTTGTAATTCTGTATTAATTGAAGTAAAATTGTATGTTGCCGCGGCTAGTTTGGTGTAAGTATGTCAGGCACAGAGGAGGAGGTCAAAGAGCAATCAGATGAAGCTGCTTTGGAAAACACTGAAAAACCCATGCCATCACCCCAAGAGGAGGTTGTGTTCACATCAAACTTTTGAAACCTATGTTGTACTGTTTATGCTTCACCGAATTTTTATTGGCGTTTTTCTTCTTTTGTTTCCTTAGGAGGAAACAATGAAGAAAAAATATGGAGGAATCATGCCCAAGAAGCCACCATTGATTTCAAAGGTAATTTTTATTTAATTCTGTTGCAAATGTACTCCACAGATAGTGTTGATTTTATGCTCATGATGTGAGAAGCATGAGAGCATCACTTTACTTTTCTTTTAAATTTATTTTTTACGAAGGGCTTTGTTTTAATGTCAGGACCATGAACGGGCTTATTTTGATTCTGCTGATTGGGCTCTTGGAAAGGTAGTATTCTTGCATTAATTGTTCTTATCTTAAAATTAGCTAACTTGTAGCATTATGATCATAGCAAGGTGTAGAGAAGCCCAAAGGTCCACTGGAGGCACTTCGGCCGAAGTTACAGGTAGTGTATTATGCAGCTGATTATTATTTTCTAGCACTTGCTGTACCTGTCTACCTGGTGTGTTGTTTTTATGGTTTTCTCACTCTCAAATAATTTTCACTAAATTTTTGTCCTGCAAATATGTGCCTTAGTCTGCCTATGACTACCCTGCTATTTTCTGGGGGAAGAGAACGAGTCATATTGGTGGTTGACTGGTTGTGTTGATGAACTTTAAGTGGAGATGGTGGGTGAGCAGACATCTAGCTAAGAATAGGTAGAATACTTTCTGTGTTTACAATGCACCAAAGAAGGGGAAAGTGCTGCAGCCAATTCAAATCTAGAAAGGAAGACAATTGTAGGAGATACATGGCTGAGAATGTATATAAGATGAATGTTTCAGTCTTTCAGAACTAGAGGAACAGAATAGGGGGGCTTAGCTTGAACTCTTTCCTTATATTTTTGAGGGGTGATTGGGTTTGTGTTTTCCTTTCTTTAATTGAATGGGTAGAACATAGAACTAGTAAATTATTAATTATCCAACATTTTTGCATCTGGACTCAAGTTTTATTTTGGTATTTCCTCATTCATCCCTTGCATCTCCCCCTTTCTCTTGAACATTGTTTTTAAGATACCTGATTCCCTTTCTTCTTTGAACTTTTCTGTTCTAGCCAACACAACAGCAAACTCGATACCGCAAATCTCCTTATGCCCCAGCAGAAGGTGAAGGTATGCAGGATGGTTGATTTCATCATGCAATCACTTACATTATTTCCAATTATTATAATCTGCCATTGGCACGGACCATGCTGTCAAGACACGACTTTCACCCTTTCTATTCTTACTGTTGAGGGATTTTTTTTGAAGATCTACTCCCTCACCTTTCATATTATTTCTTGCATAGATCGAAGCAATGCCCCACCAGAGGATTAACTCCAAATGAATGAGAAAGAAATGCCATCTTTTGATCCCTGGATGATGCTGATTTTAGTTATAGTTACCAGTACTTGAGTAATTTTCTTCACTTCTGTTTAAATTTTTTTTAAGAATAAGACAAAAAGTTATTGTCCTTGTTGAGGGGAAAGTAGAATCATTTAATGCAGGCTTTGATTGTGAGATTTTCCCGTCTTCCACCGATGTAACAATTCTGCTGAGTTATATGTAATGCAAAACAAAGACTTATATATTTTGAGATATATATGGTTGGTGGGCCATTTTCTCATGTTTTCTTTTCAGTTTGTCAGTCTAAGTTGTATGTTCATGGTTCATGGTTAGTTCACTGTTTCTCTAATAAATGCTGTTGGGTTGCAACAATATGATCTCTCTTGGATTCACCAAAGTTTTATGTTCTAAAGTTGTTTGATCAATGATAAAAACAGGTATGTGATCAAAAGGATACATAAGAAGTGATATATGCTAATTTACACCCTTAACATAGATGAGAAAATAGCAGCACTACACTAGTACATTCTTTCTTTATGATGGGAAAATTTTCAGAGTTCATAAGCTGGAAATCTAGCATTGTTGGGATCTACCAAGTCCAGAAAAAGATATGACATACCCCCAACACCTTCAAACAGTGAATACGGTCTATCGCCTCTGTGCATGTCTCCGGTTGATATGAGTTTGTGAGCTCTATCAAGTAGAAAGCACGCAAAGGCTTTGGCTCTATATAAATACTCTGCATTTCCTGTCAGCCGATATAGAGAAAGGAAAGTGTAGGCATTTCCACTGATGCCATGGCAAATCCCAACGCGTTTCAGAAGGCCACGGTTCCATACTACATCTGCAGCATCTACTGCAGCTTTAAGAAACTCGTTTTCTCCAAAAACCTGCACTTTTTACAATATATCAAATGGCAATGCTTATTGATTACAGCCAAATGGAAAATGATAAAGATTACCTCTGCTGCCTTGACTAGTGTAAGGGAAATTCCTGGAGCCCCGTGACACCAGTGCACAAGAACATCTCTCTTATCTTCTTCGCTTGCAGGGTAATTACCACTCGGGAACTTGTTCTCTATCATGTACTTTAAAGTTCCCTTTACGAGTTCCACCTCATCCTGCTTAAGTTCGAAATCCATCAGCAAGTGCATGATCCCCGCTATTCCATGGGCGGAACCCCAGTACATCTCTCCATACCATTCATACATTAGAGGACTTTTTCCTCTTCCTCCCAATCTCTTCCCATTCTCAATAACCTTGGCAACCACAGCACCCTACAGTGAATTAAAGACTACTCTTAAGTCTTATCTAATTGTCTAATTCAGCAAATATGTTAATCAATCGGTGTGATATGGACATATGAATATGAAAATACCGCTAAGGTGGAAGGGATTGTTCCTTTGCCGAGGTGCTTGTTGATGAATAAGCAAGCCCATAAGAAGCCAACTCTACCATACAGTAACTCATCCGGGACATCTTTAGTAATCTTAATCTGTTCTCAAACAGTAACCTTAATCTGTTCTCAAAAATCTTAGGAATACACACACACACACATTACATGAACATCAATCAAAACTCAACAACTAACCTCTTGAAACTGGCTTAAATAGTAGTTAACCAACTGATCATTGCCCATGTACTTTGCAACCACAGCACCAAGTGCACATACACCACTTCTCCCACATATAAAGGTAACATCCCTAAAATCCCAATGATTATCAAATGCTGATTAAAAAAGTTATCCATTTTTAATTCCAAAAATTCAATCTTTTGGTCTTCTGTCTCATCTAAACTTATTAGGGGTGAATACATACCTGGAGCTTAGAGTAGCAGAGTCACAAGATTTTACTATCTGGGAGCAGAGATTTAGGTCATTTGTATTCTTGGTGACTTGGTAGGACTTAAAGAGCAAAAGGGCAGTCCCAAGTGCCCCAGTGTAGAGTGTAGAATCTGATACTTGTTGCCTTGTGGCACCCCATGTCTCCACCACTATCTGCAAATTCATTCATTCAAGAATTTCAATTACATTTTCAAGAGAGAAAAATGGTTGAATTCAGTCAAAAGAGTGTGTGTGTGGGTGGGTTACAGTTTCTTTCAGGTCAAGAGCGGCCCGTTTGAGCTTCTCGGCAAGAGAGTGGAACGGTGTAGCCAGAAGCTTCAACAGAGACTCATTGGTGCCTTGCGAAATGGGGCGTTGAATTTCTCCCTCTTCAATGTTTGGATCTTCTGCTACAAAATGAGGCATTAGATTCGGATAAAACCGATCCGCCATGCTTGCAATCTCCAAATTTCAGCCCAGAAAGAGAGGCTTAAGCCTCTATGTACTCTTTGGGATCGCTGGTACATCGACACGTTACAGTACTCTCTCCACGTGGCCCAAGAAATGAGGTAAGCACAGTAATAGTAATATATTTAGAAAAAATCAATAATGTCGGTTTAATGAAACACTAATACTGTAATTATTTTTTAATGTTATCCCAATCGACTCCTATCTCCATAGCTTCATCTCTTCAAATTGGTGGTGAAAAAGTAGCAGAAAGATGAATGCAATTGTGGTGCGTGGACTTACAGTATGCATATCATCCGCAAAGCTTATACGAGATTCTCGCAACCATGCTTTCAATTCTAAGTTTTTGAGCTCCAGAACACCTCTCAAGTGTAATTGCGTGAAGAAGGAGAAAACCCAGAATTCCTTTGAGGTTCTTCTGATTTATTTTTACTTCTTTATTACCTCTCATCTGTATAAGCTCGATTGTTAGCAATCTTTGAAGCAAAGATTTCAACTTTCTGCAATTATATCATGTCTCTCTACTAGAAAATGGCTTATCTGGGAATAGGTTCTTTGTGGGTGATTGATAGGATGCTTAGTAGCATCTCTTTTCCCTTCTATGAAAAATTGAGAAACAAATGCTTTAATTTGGTCAGCTAATATGCAAAGCTAGATATATTAAGAGTTCTATAACAGCCAATAATGGCTGGAGGAAATGACTCTACCTTTTACATATCTCATAATATCATTTTGAAGAAGTTAACAAGCTCCATTGGGGGGACACTCTGAAATTTGTAGGATAAGGTAAGGAAACATGAACAGAAGAGAATGGATGTTTTGACTGCCAGTTTGACATTAAATCTAATGAGTGAACATCATTTCTTAGTTTAGACCAGCTTTTAAAATGCTTCTCAAACATAAACAAAACCATAGATACAAACTCATCCTCCCACATCCTGGCATGCATAAATGTGGATTTGGAAAGAGAATGGGACATATGAATGTATACATACACTGAAAGTTTGTAGCAAGTTTCTGTGAACATGTGCTGTTTGAATGTGGAGTAATGCTTTCCCAATCATAGGAATTCTCAGTCCTTAAATCCGATATTCCATGTGATAGTGGGAGTTTGTGGAGTGGTATGGCTTTGTATGTGTTCAGCTTTCATGTTCCTTTGAGTTTCGGAGGGCTGTCTGCTATCAGCAACATATTGCATCGTCCTGTCCTTGATCCAGAAACTGAGGTGAGTAGACACTTTTGCACTTGTTCATGGAGTTTCAAATTATCTTGAGTTGCAGCTTGATATAGGGCGATCTTTTCTCTTTTCCAGAACAGGCAATATCCTTGTTAGCTATTCAAACTTTGGAGCTCATCGTAGTTCTGCTGCTCTTAAGATTTCCCAGGAAACCTCAGAGTAGCATTCTTGAATTCTTTCAAGCAAGAAAAGAAAGGAACTGGTTGCTTGCATCAGCTATTGGCTTTGGCCTTCTTGTTTTCTTGGTTTTTCTCACATCCTTCATCTCCTACAGATTGGTAGGGCCAAAAGTAAGTTTAATAATTTCTTGAATACTTTTTCCTCCCATACCTAAATTTATACGTAGTAACATAGTTCACGATAACTTATGGCGATTAATTTACTATCTCTGCAGGATGTTAACAATCCGATCGTGAAGGAAATCCTTGCAAGCAGCTCCATCTCTTTAACTGCATGTGTTCTTGTCTATTGTGTTGTGACCCCTTTCCTAGAAGAAATTGTTTACAGGCGGTTTTTCTTGACAGCTCTTTCCTCGACAATGGAATGGCAGCAAGCAGTGATCATAAGCTCGATAGTTTTCAGCGCAGTTCATTTCTCCGCGGAGAATTTCATACCATTGTTCATCATTGGCTCCATCCTTGGAGGGTCTTACTGCTGGTCTGGTAACCTGTGTTCTTCTGTTGTGATACATTCATTGTACAATGCACTCACATTACTTATAACCTACATGTCATAACTTAATATTTCCACAACAGCAAGAACATTATACTTTTAAGAAATATAGGTGGTAATTTCTGATGTGGTAAATACGGTCAAGTCCACAAATGCATACAATTTGTAAGGTCGGATCGTTAGTGGATCCTTTATTGGTTTGCTTATTAGTTTAAGTTTGAAGCTCGGGTTATGACGTGAAGCCACATGTTCTTGAGCTAAGTAGTGTTAGGTAGAAATGTCAAAAGTGTCCTTCATCAGTCATAAATGCGGTATTTATAAGAAACAAAAAGGCACACATGTCGGGCTCTCGGCATGCCTGTCACGTACGTGTCACGCATGCAGCTGCTAAGCTCGGGAGTAGTGCCTTGTCGGCCACAGTTTGTTTAGATTCCTGATCGCCTACTAAGAGTGATTGGAATAAGACTCAAAATCTAAGACTAAACGCTTTATTTGGGATGGTCGTCCCGGCCTCAACTAATTGGGGTCGGTTACCGCATTGAGGTCAGTAGGATCGAGCTTATGCTTGGTCAAGGTCGGGAATAATTCCCCTCGACAGTTCAACAAGATACTGAGCAAATATACAGTACATAGAGGGGGCATATTCCGGGAATAATCCCTATCAACTTCTATTGTGCCCACGCTCAAACATCATGCCAAACCAAACTGTAAAGAAAAGAAGTCATATTATATTCAATTTGAAGGCTGAAAAATACAATGGGTGAGTGGAAGACAGGAATGGTTAGATGTGAATTGTGTGGACTTTGTTGTTTGAGGATGTTTGGGGGTATTAGTGATAGACTGATTAGCCAATGAATTTGTAGATGAGTGGAAGACATGAAAGATAGATTTCATTTGATTTATATGGACTTGGTGTCATAGCAAGTATATATGACTTTTGGACTTCATTTCCCAAAGGCAACTAGAGAAAGTTGCCCGTACTCATTATCTGAAGATAATAACAGAAGTAAAATCACTCATTTTAAAGTAATTTTCATCTACTTTTCATGTTCACTTTGGACAGCAATAAACACTAACTTTAAATGTATCATGTTTTTAACAAATATAAGTTAAAAGAGTAATTGGTACTTCAACGTCGTCGTCATTGCATACGCATATACACACAATATTGATTAAAGAATAAAGCAGCAACCAAGTTTGACTAGTTAAGTGTGCTTATCAATGGCGGGACATGCATCTCCGATCCTGTCAATTATCACTACGAAAAAGAAAAAAGGGTAATGACGACGAGGAGACTGTAGGAGTCGTCATCAGATGACGACGGACAAACAGTGGAAGCTTCCTGCTTCTCCGATCCGCCGCCCCGGTGTCTGCTACCTCGGCCGCCATGAATTGAACCATGCACACGTGTCATCCGCAGATCGAGTGAATGCGGGCCGGGCCCCCTTGTTCAACCCTCGTGCTCTCTTGACTTTGAAAAATCATTGTTGCCCTTCTGCAACGCCTAAAAGGCAATTTAATTTTTTTTTTTTATTACAGTTTCACATATATAGTTTGCTGATAGATTGTGTGTCTTTCTTGTGATTTTAATCGGTAAAGAATATAATGAGACAATTAATCAGTTCAAACCAAGAAGATCAGCTGAACTAAATGTTTTGTTCCCGGGGACCGGATATTGAACCAAGATGCAAGGACTCACATATGTTACATTGATCTATCTCAGGTTGAGGGTATACAGATAATTTACAAATGACGGGAGCAGCAGATCAGAACAAGAGAAGACACAATACTAAGCAACAGCAGAGGAAAAAACATATTCTGCTGAGTGATCTATCAGCGTTCATCATTTGCCTTCTCATCCTTAAATTACTGCTACCATAACCTGATACATTATAGGAGTTTGGATATGAGTACAAGGTTGTCCCCGAGTTCCCAAACATCCTGGTGTAAACCATTTCACCAAACATCCCCCTGCTCATTATTGGATCACTCAATGCATTCACTGTCGTGCCTCCAACACCAAGCTGGTTCAGCATGGGCGGTCCAATATAGCTGTCCGGATGACGACTATGATGGCGAGCAGTGGTGGTTGGGGTTGGTAACAAAACAGGACCACCACATCTTGGGCTTTGAGGCCTCTGAGGTATGGTTGCCGCCTTGCAATCTGATGGTTTGGGTGCTAGGCCACGACCATAGAGCGGAATCAAGGTTTTCTCCGAAACCTCAGCCTTGCAGACAGGGCACTGTGGGTGTTTATTATCCTCCTGGGAGTGTTGGGAATGAATCCATTTGTAAATGCAAGGCCAACAATAGAGATGACCGCAGAATGTAACCACCGGATCCTGAACTGTATCTAGGCAAATGTTACAGTCAAAACCTTCAGTAATAGGATTGTTTTCCATTGCAGATGATGATAGGGATTTCCACTTCTCCAAACAAATACCATGTTCACCAATTTCTTGCTGCTCCATCGATCTAAACGTAGTAATAATCTTGAATTGGTTTGCCTGCAATATCTGAAACAACCACAGAGTACATGCACAAAATCATCAAAAACAAACTTGAACATATTCTTAACCATGGAAAGAGCAATACACAGAAACGTACTCTATTTACATTTTACATTAAACAATCAAAGAATTGATGAATTGAAGGCCCCATTTTTAATTTTCTGTTCAAACACCCCCAAAAAGGCAAAAGGGAACGACCCAGAAGCTCTTTATAGAAGAACACAAAATTAAACCAGAGCTCAACATACAGGAGAAGATCTATATACTTGAAACTTTCATTAAAAGCAATTCAGGACAAAAGTGAAAATCAAACTGGGATATGATCGATGTGTGCACAAAGATAACAATTCAAAGAATAAAACTTTCACAGTTTTGCATAATTCCCATTCGATCATACATATATATATATGAACAAAAGTATGTATACCAATGTAAGAGGCCGGGGAATGGAAGAAGATACATACCAAGATATATGTTTGTAGAGTAAAGTTGGCGTTTGGATTGCACAGGATCGGAATTGAAGCGTTATTATGAGCAGAGGTGAGAAATGAAAGCAGAAGAGGCCGGGCCGGGAAGATAGTTAAAGAAAGAGATGAAAGGATAATTGACGAAAGAAGCGGGTTGAGTTAACTTATATATAGGGAAGAAAGGGAAGCAAAGGATAACGGTGTACTTGAGGTCCACGTATAAACGTATTCGTATGAATGAATGTATTAACAACGTAAACAATAACCGACAAGCCGTATTCCGACGTGGCACCTACGCCAAGGAGATAATTATGTTTTTTATTCCTACTCCGCGACCGCGTGCCAAACCTCTTGCCAAATTTGCAGTATGGATCTCTTCAACACTATTTACTTTATTATTACTTATAATAAAAATCATAATACTTATTCCATAAAATTTAATATTAATTTAAAATAAATAAATTATTACGTATAAAATGATTATTACTAATGATGAATATTGTAATACGTACAATTAAAATTGTGATACTTATAAAGTGTAATTATAATGTAAATGTAAATATTATAATACTTATATGTGAAATGTAACTTATGAAATAAATTGTAATACTTATTGTAAAAAGTTTACTACAAATTTGATTTTTTGATTTTTTAAAATTAAAAATAATTTTAATTTTTTAAAAAAACAAACTGTAAATTACACATGAGAGGTAAATCACATTGGTGCGATGAATTTGATAAAAAAGTGTGATTATCAAGATACGAGAATCATGTTTTACTCACTCGGTTATCCTTTTTGAAGCAGCTACGTTTTTTTATTATGGAGTTTGTATTTGTTTTCAAGAAGAAAAGAATATCAGTATAGAATGGAAGATAGTAATTCATTAATAAGGAAGTGAAAACATTAGAAAAACGTGTGGAACTCAAATTAAACAGGAGGGATGTACTTCAGTTCAATTTATATAATAATCATATCAAACCGCAGTATTAACTATTAAGTTAGGCTTCATAGTTTTGTAGTTTTCATTAATGTTTTGTTGGCTTCTTTTGCACCATTCATCGACTATATTAAGAAACACTTCAGGGTTGCCAATTTGCTATAATTAAGAATTTAGGTCGGCCAATTGTACACGTACGTACTACACTATTATTATTATTATTATTATTATTATTATTATTATTATTATTATTATTATTATTATATTATTATTATTATTATTATTATTATTATTATTATTATTATTATTATTATTATTAAATACGCAATAAATCATTTTTATTATCTAATATGACTTTACATTTTTTTTTATCAGCAGGAGAGGTGGTACCTCACAAACAACACCTATTAGCGTTCAATTCGTTACTCACTAACTCTACGATTCCTCAAAACATCCATAATGGCCCTGTTTGGTAAACGGTCGTTAACTGATAGCTATTAGTTGATTAGGTTAATTAGAGGATATAATTAGTTGATAACATTAACTTGTTGTAGGAAAGTGTTTGAGAAATTAGTTGTTAGCTATTATAGCTGTTTGGAATAATTTCTTTTCTCAAAAAACTAATTGAAAAAGTTACTTGGAGTAACTTTTTGAATTTTAGCATTTTGGAGTTACAAAAATATAATGAACCAAAAACTTATATTGATCTTTTTCACCAAATCAAATAATTAATAATAGTCAAATAAATTAAAATTAACTGATAGACTAACTATTTACCAAACAAGGCCATTATGTCTTTATGACTAATTATGAGCAAGAACTTGATTTTGTCCCGTGGTTGATCAAAGAATATTGTCACATTCTTCTTTGTTACATTAATTTGTAATAAGATTAATAAATTGTATAAGTAAAAATAATAATTAAGTTGAGAGAAGAAGCAAAATAATAATTAAGTTTGACTTCTCATTATGAATAACCTATGCTGATTTACTTCCTTGTGATTCTTTTTTGAGAATAGTAGTGGTTGTAACTCAAGGGTTTCCATCATCACCTAAAATAATAATAATAATAATAATAATAATAATAATAATATAATAATAATAATAATAATAATAATAATAATAATAATAATAATTAATTGTCCTAAAAGGGATGATTGTGTTGTCTAAGTGGATAAAATATGCTTATTATTGTACCATAAGGTTACATGTTCGATGATTGTTGGTTTCCATACCACAAATAATAATAATAATAATAATAATAAGTTTATCATAAGCTTGCAAGTTTGGAATTAATAATAATTATGATAAATTGTTCCACTAAGCAATATAATCGGAGTTATGTTGTGCAAAAATTGTGGCGGCTATCTAAAAAAAGTCACCAAAATTAAAAGAATACATAATTATATATGGAGGTCGTTGTACTAAAAAATATATATGGAGGTCGTTTTCGTAATTAAATTTATTTATTAGATGTCATTTTCATGCTTTAAATAAAAATATTATCTCTACTACTAAAAAGTAAAAATGATGTATCAATGTATGATTTCTGTCAAGTTGGTCGACTGTATGTTGACCTGAATTTAGTTTTAATAAAAGACTTAATGAGTTATTATATTCTTCCCAAGAGGTTGAATCCCCAATTCCAAGGACTCCCCACATCTGATAGAGCATCTGGGGATGTGAATCATGGTAAAGTTAAACCTTTGCTTATTGCGCATAAGAAGCCTCTCTAGTCATTTTTTTCAAACTTCACTGACCAGTTAAGCTGTCCATACGGGCTAATTAATTATTATTATATTGAGAAGACATGTGGAAAACTCTTGCATATTTTTAATTAAATATAGTTCACTTTGTTAAGTCCACCTACTACCGAACTCCAATTGTTCACACAAGGCAAACAAATATGATGAAGCGATGCTTATATACGCCACCTAAGATTTAATACTATATTTGTGTGTACACACACATATACATGCACCAAAAATTTTATGTATGTGTTGCCGGGCCTGGAAGAGATAATTGAGTGAATTCAACTTTATTCTTTTACCCAAAAAAAATATTATGTATTTTTCTTGTCATTAAAAAATCCTCTTAAATTTTTATTTTATTTTTTTTTAAAAAAAAAAATCACCCTTGGGCCAATTTGTTGACCCAACATTCCAATGAGATTGGTGGCAATTTATATCGTGGATCATGGTTCACATAGCATTGTGGACCCTGAATCAAAACAATGTTTTGATATTTAAATTTTAACAGATCCTGTAGTATCTCATTTCTCATGTTTCAACATAAATTTAAATTTTTAGGTACAAAATCAATATTCTTAAGGTATAAAATTTCATAACTTGAGACACAAAATTAAACTCACAACAAACATATACACATGTTATATACATATTTACTTATTCTCAAATCTAATTTATATAGATAATATATGTCCTATAGGTACATAATTTCATAATACAATATATAAATTCGTAGGATAAGACACAATAAGTTGTGTGTTACACAACTACTAATATATTTCAAGTACATAATCCATACACTAAAGGTACATAATTGCATAACATGAGACACAAAAACGCATAACACAAGACACATACACATGTTTTATATTTATTTTAGTTCATGTACATATCAAAATTGCATAATATAAGACATAAAAATGCATAACACAAGACAAAAATGCATAGCACAAGACACAAAAGCGCATATTATATTTACTTTATTTCAGGTACAAAATCCATACGCTTAAAGTACAGAATTGCATAACATGTGACACAAAAACGCATAACACAAGACATATACACATGCTTTACATAGAAAAAAAAAATCCTATAACGTGAATTAAACAATAAACCGTCGCCGTCAAAATTACATCGTTTAGGATCAGGGTTCACGCACTATGAATTTGGTCCACGGTATAACGATTGGTAAAGTTAAGTGTGAGAAAAATCAATGAACGTAAGAAGCTTCTTAATTATGATTTTTATGCATGAGTTGAAGGGGTGGCGTGTATGATAGATAGAGTCGTGGTCCATTTCGTTTTTGCAAACAACATATAATCATTTTCCATACCCGCACTAATCACAATTTGTGTGATCATTATTAGTTGTTGCAATAACAAGACAACTTTAATTATGGTTTCTAGAAGTTCAATGATAACAGTCTGTAGTAAAAGAATTTGACCTAAAGCTATAGAAATTTATTTGGAAAAGAAACGCACTCACTGCACTCCAACCACACATCTGTTGTACGTACGTTATTTGTTGAATTGAAACTCTCTTGATTTGGTCCACTCACTCGATTGTGGTGGTAGATTGAGAAAGATGAAAAATCATTGAACGAGATAAAATTTGTTTGATTAAAGAAATGTTTGAAAATTATAATGGTAATATTTTGGTCTATCCACGTGTTCTTATTTGGTTAGTTAAAAAACAAGAATGGAACAAAAATATTGATCTATGTATTTTTTTAATCAACAGGATGGAATACTCACAAAGGAAAAACAGAATTGCCTATGCCAACTGAAAACCATTTGTAAACGAGAAATGTTAAACTGATCTTCAAATAAACTTAGGAAGACTCCACTCAATCACTATTTTTGAAGTTTTCGCAAGGAAATTTATCACCAGAGAAAATTACACTTTTGGTTCTATGACTATAGGGAAGGTGGTAATTTCAGTTCGTGACTTTTAAAACTAATAGATTTAGTCTTTTTAGTACGCTTTTTTTTACACATTAAGTCCTTCCGGCCAAATCACCGATGGATTTTGACCGGAAAAACACAATCCCTTAATTTATTAAATATTTGGGGGGTAAAATGGTCAATTCAGATTCTACTTTCTTCTTCCTTCTTCTTCCTTCTCCTTCCTACTTCTTCGTTCTTCTTCTTCCCCTGGGAGGACTTGCAGACCTGGAACCCCCATTGATGCTAAGAATCTGAAAACGTGGACCCCTTTAGCTCTATTTGCACCATAACAACCCCTTGATCTAATTACCCTACTTACACTAGTCCACATAACAGAACTAACAAACAGATTTCTTCCCTCAAAACATTCTACAAAAAAGAATGAAGTAAAGAGCAACTATGCAAAGAAGTCAGCTTTTCACCAAAAACAAATAAACCAAAACTATTCAATTTAATAGATGATTAGATGGAGTAAAATTGAGCATTAAATAAACATAAAGACCAAAATTTTGAACATTTTACATTGA